CCCAATGCCAATGCTGTCATTGAAGAGAATGTGCAGCTTGTTCAGAGCAAAGGATCCCCAACCCGCACACTGATCTGTTGCTAATTACTGGAATCCAGCAAGAGGTTCTTGTTTGCATGGGCACTGACAATTCCTTTGACATGCTGTGAATTCATTTGCGTCTCGGGCCTTTTTGGCTTTGGTTACTCTAAGCCTTCACATGCAATTTCCAAGGGAATTGTAAACTGTAGTTGCCGAAAGCATTTTGCATTGTACAAGAGTAGCTTTGCTGCTGCGATGTCTTTAGGAGTAAATGTATCCCCCTCCCAAAAAAAAAAAAAAAAAAAACGATAATAAGAATAAGAATAATAATCATGTTTTGATGCTTCGTATCTTTTGTTGCCTTGGTTGTTTGAGACATTAGATATCTGTCAGCAAACACCTCTTTTGCCCTGGATTATCAGTAATGTGGAATGATTACACAGCTTTATGTGGAACGGTTGTGTCATTTGGACAGCTGTCGCTCACTAAGCCAGGAAATGACTCTGATTCGGGATGTCGTGTTCATTTGCAGGGCCATTTCCGCCACCTTAACCAAACAACAAAATTTGTTTTAGTCTAATTAATCACATTCAAGATGATGTTCAATGATTTACGGATATGTGCATGTGTGCGGATCGCTACAGATATGTTTTGCAAGTCAAAATTTCGCTTTTAACCAACCAATCGCTGACATCATCAAAGGCCAGTGCTGTGGCTCGGCGAGGACTAATTTGAAATCTAATTCATTAAAGAAACTGTTTCATTGCTCATACTGTTTATCCGACAGTACTTTTGATTCTGAGGGCCTTGGGCAGATGACATTGACATGGCAACAGGGACATTCTGAAATCTGATTGGACAGGAAAAAAAGAAAAATCTAACATCCACATCCGCATGCCGGAAGCAGTGCAGCAAAATGCTCTGAAATGAAGAAAATATGCTGCTAGGTTATAAACGTAGGTCAGTGCTTCTGATGGTGTTTAGACTCGTGCCCACCGCTGAATAAAGCACGTCCATAACCAGATGTGTGTGTGGGGATGGGGGGGACAATGGGGAAAAAAAGTTGAGTGCGTCCTTGTGTGAGTGGACTTAAGTGTTGGCATGGATTTGAGTGTGTGCATTTTTTTAAAAATTATTTTAATACAACGTGCTTGCCCTTGTGTCTGTGTGTTCCAATCAGAGTGGCTTCACCCCACTTCACATTGCAGCCCACTACGGCAACATTAACGTGGCCACGCTGCTTCTGAACCGAGGGGCCGCTGTGGACTTCATGGCGAGGGTGAGTTGAGTGCAGCCTCCGCTGTCTACAATCGTCTGCCACCGCCAATCAGGATGCCGTGCTGTGTCACATGATCACGGCTGACTCAAATTGTTTCGAGCTTCAAATGTCTATGACGAACACTGAAAACGAGATAATAAAATCATAAATAATGAAACGAACATAAAAAAAGTCGACGCAGGGCTCCGCACTGCTAAATGGTGGCATTTTGCTCCTGAAATTTGTGACAGTGGCAGTACTTTTTTTTAACCTACTCGCACCTGTGTGACCAGTCAATTTGCAGATTTTTAAAAAAAATTATATTTTTGCCTATGTTTTGTTGCTGACAAACTTCTGCTCCATGCTTCAGCCCATTTATCAGTCATACAGTGAACAATTACTTTTCAAGTTGACTTACAGTATGTGCCCCTAAATGTTCTACTTGCGCACCTGAAATTTTCAAGGGCCACTGTGCTCCTCGTAAAAAAGTCTTGAGTCCTGAGTGAGTTACATTTAAGTTTCACAATATCCAAAATCAATTTGGTTGTGAGTGATACTTGGTAGAACATTGAGGGACCTAGCTAGGTAGGTAGTTAGCAAGCTACTGTTGCTGGCTAGCTAGCTAGGCATTCGTTTCATATAAGTAGGTGACAGTGATATGTAAAGACATAATGATGAGTTACAATACACACAGTATCTTCTATGTATGATATACGGGCACAGAATATCATAGAAAACGTCATTTGATTCAACAATTTAAAAAGTCAAAAGCCAGAACAAGGTTTTGTTCCAATGGTATTTGCTTGCGGGCTTTAAACTTGTTTCCACATTTGACTTAAGTGAACCAGAGTCAGCACAAGTCCATAATTGCATCAGCTAATGTCTGGAGGGGCGTTTGAGCCGCTTTCTGGCTTTAATCACATGTTGCCGCGGTACAAGTAGGAGGCCTGCAAATGGGAATAGCCACACGCACGCCCCTATCATAGTAATTAAGCGCCATACGATGTTTGTTTTGGTGACTCGCTAATAACGAACCACTGCTTGTAGTAATTTGCCATTGTCTCTTTCACCGCCTTCAGAATGACATCACGCCGCTCCACGTGGCCTCCAAAAGGGGCAACAGTAACATGGTCAAGCTGCTACTGGATCGAGGCTCCAAAATAGATGCCAAGACCAAGGTGACAACATGATTTTTGTCATAATGGAAATGCCATAGATGGGCTAATGCATTGCATCGATATGGCAGGGTCATAATGCTCTAAGCAACTGAACTTCAACAGTGCAGCAACACATGTAGACAGACATAAGAGTCCTCACATGCGTGTATTGTTTATCGCACACGAAAAACAACTACGTTAATGCAGAAGACTTACATTAAATCATTGTCTGCATGATGATGATGATGATGATGATGATTGGATTATACTGCCACCTGGTGGCTAGCTCACACACATCATGATGCGCAAACAGTTTAATTCTTCATATTGTGTCAAATAATTTTTCTACTCTGTTTTTATATTTTTTTTTTGCCAAGTTCTTACATTTAGTTTTTTACACACAAGACAAGAATAATCATGTTCAAACATTCCTCCTCAAACAGATCAAATGACGGCGAAAGAAAAACATTTTTGGGCAATTTTTCTCTCTGTTCTAAATTAAAGGAATGCTCAAGAACAGAGTTGTGTAAAACAGTCAAATGTTCTGCCTGTAATTTATATTTTTATTGATTTTATTCTGCCAAATAACGGAATCTGCATTGGCCGAAAAAAAAAAATCCTATGAGTTGGGCCCTACTAAAAACCTTCTTTGTTCTCCCGGCAGGATGGTTTGACTCCCCTTCACTGCGGGGCGAGAAGCGGTCATGCACAGGTGGTGGAAATTCTGCTGGACAGAGGCGCTCCCATCCTCTCCAAGACCAAGGTAGTTCCTGGGCAGCAGCGGTTCAGGAAAGGTTCTAAACATGCTTAAAAGTCAAGTTTGTTTTTCAACTCGTGGGCAGCGACATACCAAAGTCCAGCGGTACCTTGACTTATGACTTTTTCCAGCATCTCGGTTGATTTGTTGGTTAGGGTTGCAAACTGAAATTTCACTTACGGAGCCGCCTCACAAAATTCGACTGCTCGATGGCGGCAGTGAACTTCTCAACACCAGGCCATCATTAGTTTTCACATCGGTAAAATTACAGATAGATAGATATATTTAAATACAGATGATACACACTAGCCATGTGTTGAACTGATCTCTCAAATTAAATAGTGTGCCGCCATCGAGTGGTCGGCTGTGGAATTACACCCAATATAAACAACTGTTTGACCACCACAGTTATTAACCGTAGAAAGCCAATCTGTGAAAGAGCATTACCACGGACCTGGAATTCATGATGATTTCCAAAAATGCCAACATTTTATTGTTTGCGTGATCTTGAAACGAAATATACTCGTAACTCAAGGTACCAGTGTTGATGAGTTATTATTATTATTATTTATTTTTTTTTTTTTTTACTTTTCTCATTGTCAGTGAGGCTCTGAATAAGTATCAGCACAAGTGAATGAATTAGCTCTTCCCCATACTTTTCCAGTCACATGGCAGCGCTTTTATTGTTGCCGCGGTGACGTGGTGCGGCACTGTCGCCGCAACGTCCGTGCGAGCCGAACAGAACGTGGCCGCTTTGACCTGGCGGGACCACCAATGTAACCACGAAGACATTGTTGTAATGCCCTCATTATAACAATGCTCCCACAGCCCCCTCCCCATAAACTTCCTTCGCAGTCTTTCTCCGCGGCGCCTTATCTCCACCTGACTGACTTGTTGTCCGCCTGTCTGTCCATCCATCCGTCTATGTGTCCGTCTGCGTGTTTCTCTCTCTTTCTCTCTTCCCCCCCACTTGCTTCCTCTCCATCCCACCCCAGAACGGCCTGTCGCCGCTGCACATGGCCACTCAGGGGGACCACCTGAACTGCGTGCAGCTGTTGCTGCAGCACGACGTGCCGGTGGACGACGTCACCAACGACTACCTGACGGCGCTGCACGTGGCCGCTCACTGCGGACACTACAAGGTGGCCAAGCTCATCGTGGACAAGAAGGCCAACCCCAACGCCAAGGCCCTGGTAAGAGGGAGGGAGGACATTGAATTTAATATTTTATGTATTTCAAGTGCAACCTCCTGAATCTCTACGACTTTGCAAAGGTAGAATTCTTCAGACAGCTGTTGTACAGGATGTCTTTTGATTTGGGAGGTCTACCTAATGTCAGTGAGGGAACTATATGGGAAGGGAATAATAAAAAGAATTGAAACATGAATCAGTGGCGTGCAAGCTGATGGGGAAAAAATTCTCATTCCACTCTGGTCTGCAGTCACAGATGTTTTCCAATTGCGGAAAGTCCCCTGGTTGCATGTCCGCTAAGACTTTTGATTCCTCCGCAGAATGGGTTCACTCCGCTTCACATCGCCTGCAAGAAGAACCGAGTGAAAGTGATGGAGCTGCTGCTGAAGCACGGAGCGTCCATCCAGGCTGTAACCGAGGTGCTCCTGACACAATCTTGATTCGCTTCGATCAGACATCAAAATCAAAAGTGGTTAAAGGTTGCGTTTCTCCGCAGTCTGGCCTGACGCCGATCCACGTGGCGGCCTTCATGGGCCACGAGAACATCGTCCACGCACTCACCCATCACGGAGCTTCACCCAACACCGCCAACGTGGTGAGGGGATCATCGTTGCATGTTGAAAATGGCCGACTTTCTTGGTGGAAAGCAACAAAGCTCACTGTCGCCGGCGTGGCCGCGTGTCCCCTCCAGCGTGGCGAGACGGCCCTCCACATGGCAGCCAGGGCGGGCCAAGCCGACGTGGTTCGATACCTGCTCAAGAACGGAGCCAAAGTGGAGACCAAGTCCAAGGTGTGCAGTCTGAGCGCCAGTCTGAAGATAGAAGGCGGAAAAAAAAGTCGACGCGCCCATTTTCAAATGCTGTTGGATTGTTAAATCAATACATGAGACCAGTATAAAAAATTTCAAAGCTTTTTTTTTTTTTTATAACCAATAATGTGACCTACAACCTGAACAACTCAATTAAAAAAAAACAAGTAATGTAGTTGCACAAGTGAGCACATACTCTATGACTTGGGTTCAAAACTATGTTATAAATGGGAGTCGGCACACATTTTCCCACGTCTGTTTGGGAGATTTTGTTATGATCTGATAAAACCACATACACTAGCAATTTCACACATCAGTGAATCATCATCTGCGTCAGAAAAAAAAGGGCTTTGTTCACTTTTTTTGGGTCATTCTGTAAAATGAAAATGGATGTATCACAGTTTTTAGTGGTATCGGTACTTGGTATCGGCAAGTCCTCAAAAAGTGAATACTCCTACTGGTACCGATCTGGAAAAAAAATGTGATCGAAACAAAACTAATAATTTGGTCAAGCGAAGCCAGGTGGTGCCAGCCAACACGTTGGTGCAGTTTTCTTTTTTCTTTCTTAGTTGGAACAGAGGTCTGAAGCGAATTATCAACTGTTCGACGGCACAAAAAAATATCACAAAAAGCCTACTACAACATATGAAATTATTATATATATATATATATATATATAATTATTAGATAGATTATTTATATATAGATTATTTATTTATTTATTTATTTTTAAAGAAGAGGAATGTGTAGCCGGCAGTAAACTAGAGCATTGAAATCATATGACCTGACAGGATGACCAGACGGCGCTGCACATCTCCAGTCGTCTGGGGAAGGTGGACATCGTGCAGCAGCTGCTGCAGTACGGCGCCTTGGCCAACGCGGCCACCACCTCGGGCTACACGCCCCTCCACCTGGCCGCCCGCGAAGGCCACCAGGATGTCGCCACCATGCTCCTGGAGAACGGAGCCTCGCTGTCCTCCTCCACTAAGGTACCAAAACACACACACACACACAAAAAAAAAAAATCAGGTTACGAGAAAAATGTAAGTTGGTCATTTTGACTCAGTTTGGGGTCTTTCCATCAGCGCAGTTGATGATGGGTGGTCACATACTTTCCCAAATGACTCATTTTATTGAGGGCGGCCGTAAGCTGTGAAGGACATTTATAATGGAGGTGATGCAAGCATGTGCGCTATGTTGCCTTTGGGGGGGGGGGTTGTGAAGGTGACCTCTGCCAGTGGAACAGATTAATGGAGGGTAAACCCCTTGGTGTGCACGCCCTCAATTACACTGACACACATGCACACACAGCATCTTTTGGGACGTCGCCCGAGTCAACTGCCCAAGGAAATGATGCCGCCATCAAATTCCCCGGTTTGTATTATTCATGAAGAGTGAGTGATCCTTTGCAAGAGTGGATACAGGATTCATATCCAGCTGAATCAAATGTATCATTTTTAATTACAGTACAAGTGGAAATAAAAAAACATGAATAAAATTAAAAATAGCAAGTGCTTCAGAACATGCTGAAGTTCCACGTTCCTCTGGGAAATGTGACGTCATGTCTTCCAGTTGCACACAAGAACCGTTGGGTTCAGCATACGGCACCATGATCAGGTGTACGTGACCAAGGACAGCACCGGTAGCTTGTCAAAAAAAAAAAAAATTCTGTTCAGGTGCTCCACTTGTGTGTCTTTTTTTTTTTTAAGGTTTTCAACGGCACAAAACGTGTCAGGAAAAGCCTACTAGAACAAATTAAATTCACCAAGACATGCACACACAGATTCCAGGCCTCGCCTCTTAAAGGCACACACATGTATATTATGCAGACACTGTCCACGTTATTCAATACTTACAGGGTTTTCAATACATGTTATGATCGCAGTTGTTTTCATTTTTTTCACTGAGTAAACACATTTACGATGTGTTTAAAAAGTGTGTTTTAGTGTGTTTAAGCATAGGGAGGGCTAAAATGATATTTTCAAGCAAAATTCTCGAGCGCTCGCCCCCAACATGTCAAAAGTCACTTTCCACCCTTAAAGTTCAATTTTCTCGGGTTGGACGTTCCAACAGAAAGGCTTCAGTCCGCTCCACGTGGCTGCGAAATACGGCAAGATGGAGGTGGCCAGTCTGCTCCTGCAGAAGAGGGCCGCGCCTGACGCTGCTGGAAAGGTGAGGAGAGAGAGAAAAAAAAAGAGGGAAACTAATGAAGGGTCTCTTCAGGGAGCCGACTTCATGCCTGATGTGTTCCCATGGGAGCAAATTTGAAAGCATGCGGCTTTCCAAGATAAACGCTACAAAATGTTGTTTTATGGGATTCTGCGTCTAAAAAGGGAGTGATCGGACATTGATGCAACGTGTCACGCTGTCGATGATGCGCCCACGCAAAGAATGAGCTCAACTCTTGAACCCAACCGCTTTGACCTGAAATTCCATTTTTTAACCGTCCAGTTCACTCGGTTTCTTCACGGGACTCCAAAAATGTTGCGAATTCATCAAGTTGACGTGATGCTGACGCTTTTATTTGGCGATGAGCAAGCAAGCGCTTATCCCGTCCGATAGCATTTAGCTACCCTTAATATCAGTCAAGTCTGTTTTCCAGACTGCGCAACTTTTTGGGTTGATGAGAATTGACTCCCACATTTGAACTCAAGTCACAAATACCACCAAATATTTTTCCACTCTTGTCATTGCGGTATGCACATTAGGGTGAGTCAGTCGCGCGTGCCGTTGACTGCGTGTAATGTTGCGTGGGAGCGGTCCCAAAATGTGGGGAAGCGTCATTGAACTGCGGCCTATCGTTCGGGCAACATGATCAAAACATGAAGACCTTTTTAACCTCACACATCCCTCTTATTTCTTCGAAATGTTTGCATGAACACACACACGCGACTCTCTCTGGTGCGTTTCAACTTGCGTGTGCTGTCGTCGTGGCTCAGCTGAGCGCCGTGCGTGCGTGTCTCCATTCCGTCAGTGACCTTCTAACCTGCTGCTGGTTGTGTTGCATGTGTGTGTGTTGGTGTAAGGTTTTCAACGGCACAAAACGTGTCAGGAAAAGCCTACTAGAACAAATTAAATTCACCAAGACATGCACACACAGATTCCAGGCCTCGCCTCTTAAAGGCACACACATGTATATTATGCAGACACTGTCCACGTTATTCAATACTTACAGGGTTTTCAATACATGTTATGATCGCAGTTGTTTTCATTTTTTTCACTGAGTAAACACATTTACGATGTGTTTAAAAAGTGTGTTTTAGTGTGTTTAAGCATAGGGAGGGCTAAAATGATATTTTCAAGCAAAATTCTCGAGCGCTCGCCCCCAACATGTCAAAAGTCACTTTCCACCCTTAAAGTTCAATTTTCTCGGGTTGGACGTTCCAACAGAAAGGCTTCAGTCCGCTCCACGTGGCTGCGAAATACGGCAAGATGGAGGTGGCCAGTCTGCTCCTGCAGAAGAGGGCCGCGCCTGACGCTGCTGGAAAGGTGAGGAGAGAGAGAAAAAAAAAGAGGGAAACTAATGAAGGGTCTCTTCAGGGAGCCGACTTCATGCCTGATGTGTTCCCATGGGAGCAAATTTGAAAGCATGCGGCTTTCCAAGATAAACGCTACAAAATGTTGTTTTATGGGATTCTGCGTCTAAAAAGGGAGTGATCGGACATTGATGCAACGTGTCACGCTGTCGATGATGCGCCCACGCAAAGAATGAGCTCAACTCTTGAACCCAACCGCTTTGACCTGAAATTCCATTTTTTAACCGTCCAGTTCACTCGGTTTCTTCACGGGACTCCAAAAATGTTGCGAATTCATCAAGTTGACGTGATGCTGACGCTTTTATTTGGCGATGAGCAAGCAAGCGCTTATCCCGTCCGATAGCATTTAGCTACCCTTAATATCAGTCAAGTCTGTTTTCCAGACTGCGCAACTTTTTGGGTTGATGAGAATTGACTCCCACATTTGAACTCAAGTCACAAATACCACCAAATATTTTTCCACTCTTGTCATTGCGGTATGCACATTAGGGTGAGTCAGTCGCGCGTGCCGTTGACTGCGTGTAATGTTGCGTGGGAGCGGTCCCAAAATGTGGGGAAGCGTCATTGAACTGCGGCCTATCGTTCGGGCAACATGATCAAAACATGAAGACCTTTTTAACCTCACACATCCCTCTTATTTCTTCGAAATGTTTGCATGAACACACACACGCGACTCTCTCTGGTGCGTTTCAACTTGCGTGTGCTGTCGTCGTGGCTCAGCTGAGCGCCGTGCGTGCGTGTCTCCATTCCGTCAGTGACCTTCTAACCTGCTGCTGGTTGTGTTGCATGTGTGTGTGTTGGTGGGTTTTTCAGAGCGGGCTAACTCCACTGCATGTCGCCGCTCACTACGATAATCAGAGAGTAGCCCTGCTGTTGCTGGATCAGGGAGCTTCCCCGCACGCCGCCGCCAAGGTACGCGCAACACGCAAGTGTGACGGGCGCGAGCCTGCTGGTGTGGGTGCAAATGACATCAGAGCTCCCTTTTGTTCCACTCTGGATGTCCATTCGCTCACCTCTGTGCTCTTTCGTTTTCCCTCACGGCTCTCTTTCATTTCCATCTCTCGCTTTTGCTCGTCCAAGTCTCCCTCCACACATTCACTCGATGGAAAATGTTTTGGGTATAAAATCCGTTTTGAGATGTAAAACAGGTTTTAGAAAGACTTGAAAAAAATAATGCATCAATGGGCGAAGTGATTCGGACCGCTCGGAAAGTTTAAATCCGGTGGTGCCTCCACTTGCAAGTTTATTTTGTTTCCTGACCGTGCTCGCAACTCAAATCGCTGATGTCGTGATATCCCGGTAACCCATTTCTTGGGAGCTGTAACTCATCGCTGTGCGTAGTTTTTACCACGTTGTTGGATGAAAATCTTAACTCAATGTGCTGGGTCAACATGATGTATAAATAACCCAGCATCGACTGGGTCCCCTTTTGGATCCAGCACTGGGTTAGCTAATTTGGACCCGGACGTTTTAAGCGTGTAAATTGAGTCACGAGCTTGGTCACGGAAGAACTTCAACTTGTAAGTCACATTATCACTTTAGACTCTCACAATAGTTTGGTCAAAAAACCAAAAAAACAAAAACAATTTGGGTCAAAAAGTGACCGAGCTACTCCTTGGATCAATTTAGCCCATTTAAAAAAAATGGTGTAGTTTGCTGCAAAACAATCCAGAAAATTGGGTAAAATTGACCCAAGTAGCGGATCAATCCCTTTTTTGACCCAAGCTGAGCAATTTTTGACCCAACGATTTTCGGTGCATCACAACAAGTTCCACACAGTCAGTATGAAGTGATCCCACATCTGAGAGTTCATCACGCAAACACTCGGCTTCTCCCCGTCTCAGAACGGCTACACACCGCTGCACATCGCCGCCAAGAAGAACCAAATGGACATCGGCACCACGCTGCTGGAGTACGGCGCCGACACCAACGCGGTAACGCGGCAGGGCATCGGTCCCATCCACCTGGCGGCGCAGGAGGGCAGCGTAGACCTGGTCTCGCTGCTGCTGGCCAAGTGCGCCGCCGTGAACATTTGCAACAAGGTAACATTGCCTGCGTTGGGATTAAACTTCCAGGCCACAACAAAAATGCTCGCCGTCATGTCCTTGCATTTGGGGGAAGGGGAGCCCCAAGTCGACAATGAATTTTTTTAGTCATGGATTGAATGGCGGGAGAAACGCTCACAACCCGCTGATGCTGCCGTCATCCACAGCTCACAACCAGACACATGCACGCATAGTTGCCGACGTAGCCCCCTCTAGGCCCCGCCTCTTAAATGCACACACTTGTACACATAGATGACAATATCGAGTTTTCCTATCAATTTTACGCTTGCAATGAGTGTATTGAATGTTTTTGCATGTGCGTCTTTGTGTCCTGCTCAGAGCGGACTTACGCCACTCCACCTCGCGGCTCAGGAGGATAAGGTCAACGTTGCCGAAGTTCTTCTCAACCACGGCGCTGACGTCAACGCGCAAACAAAGGTACGGACTTCCTGTCAGCACGCACGCGGCAGTTGCTTGGAGACGAGAAGCGTGTCGCTGGCGTCGGGCGGGATCCTCGCATCACCAGAGACGTCACTCTTTAGGAAAACAAACAAAAGTCATTAATGTTGCATCATCAAAGGCAGCAAGCCATTTTCAAGAATACTAGTCGACAAATATTTATATACCGGTACATTTTTTTTTTTTAAACACAGATGCAAGTCAACTTTTCCAGATGAATATCTCGCACTGATTCAAAATAGTTCATCTTTTTCCTCTAGCATATCGGGTTTTCATTAGAATAGTAATAACAATAATAATCTCACAATAATATATGCAATATAGTCATATAATTTGTAGTATTTTCCGAATAAAGGGTTACGTTCAGCAACAAGTGGATTTTTTTTTCTGATACGTCATCTCAAGAAAGAAATACAAAAATCTGTATTGTGCATTTTTTTAAAAAAGTAAAACTTGAAAACCAAAAATGAAAATAACTGGAAAAAAAGTCAAAAATACATTTAGGGATACATAGTCATCTGATTAAAATTTCCTATTGACTAGTGTAATTTATAAAAATATACACACACACACACAGATGCACTCAAATCTTCAGTTATACAATAAGTGAACCTCCTATATTCACTTCAACCTAGTTCACACATCCAGTATACAGAGCACCAAGTATAGAGCAGGCAGCTTGCATGCACACAAGTTGTGTGTGCGTGTGTGCGTTAGTGCTGACAGGACAGTTGTTTCCAGTGAAACCGTTCTTGACCCACTGATGCGCCCCTGCACTCGCAACGCAACAGCAACTTTGTTCCATTTCAAAAGCAAGCTTGACAAAATGAAGGCTACTGAACGGACGCGCCGAGACGTCTGATGTAACTGAGTCAACAGTCGCTCTCACTTTCTCCCAGATGGACTACACGCCGCTGCATGTGGCCTGTCACTACGGCAACGCGAAGATGGCCAACTTCCTGCTGCAGAATCAGGCCAAAGTCAATGGCAAAACCAAGGTGGGGGGGTAACAGATAAATCAATAAATAAAGATCACAAAGTTGCGTGTTGTCCGCGTATTCATCTCTTGTCTCTTCTCCCACCTGCGGGCGTCCAGAATGGTTACACGCCTCTGCACCAGGCGGCTCAGCAGGGCCACACGCACGTCATCAACCTCCTCCTGCAGTACGGCGCCGCGGCCAACGAGCTCACCGCGGTCGGTGGAAGCGCCCGGACGCCGGGGCGTTCTTTTCTTTTCGCTGCGCCATTGTGTGACTGACTTCCTGTGTGTCTCGCTCGCTCTCAGAACGGGAACTCGGCGCTCGCCATCGCCCGTCGCCTTGGTTACATCTCGGTCGTGGACACGCTGAGGCCCGTGACGGACGAAAACCTGAATACTGTGGTGAGACGTGACACAAACGTCAATTCTGTTCTCTTGACACAGAGTGCAATAAATGTGGTTGGAATCACATTTGGGTCACCTAAATCCTACAAAGTCTTTCTGGGTCCTGGGTTCCATTCTGGGCTTCCTTTATGGAGTTTGCACGTTTCCTCCCATATTACCAAAACATCTAGTGGTTGAGAGTGGAATTGCACCAGCAAACTAGACGAGCACCAAAATAAATAAATAAATAAATAAAAAAATTTGCCAAATAGCAGAACCGTGAACGTATAAATGGAAAGGAGGATTTCCTGTTGTGTGAGTAGCGTGCTGGTCGCTCGCGCCACCTCACGTGTACCATCAGGAGGGCTTAGATGGGCGCTTATGTTTTCGCCTCAAGTAGCCTGCTGTTTGAACACTGATCTCTCTCACACACACACACACACACACACACACACACACACACACACACACACGAGATGGGGAAGACTGGAGCTAGTCGTAAGGTCATTAAGACAAGACGAACTTGTGTAAGCGTCAGAATAACTGTGTGTGTGTGTGTGTGTGTGTGTGTGTGTGTGTGTGTGTGTGTGTGTGTGTGTGTGTGTCCATCTGCTGGGAGATGTAATTTAACGATCAAGATTGTTTGGTTGCCTCACACTGGGATTAGCTATTAACTACGCACAGGCATTTATTGTCGTTTGGTTTTTTTAAACCCTTCAGCGCATTTATTTATATTTGTCAATTGGAATCCAACGAATATTTTCATCATGTACATTTTCCAAAGGTCTGTGTGGAAGGGGTTCTCGCCTTTGAAATTCAGGTTTGTAAAACACCGTAATGACTAACAGACCCCTGTAGATGGCGGCACTGCGTCGCTTTGGATTTGAGATCAACACTGCTTTTGAGTAGAAGATAAAGATGAGGCAGTGAATCTCAGCTTGTCACGTCAGTTATAGGGTAGGGGGAATGACTCGAGCCATGCATCGAGTCAGCATCGTAGCTATCTGCAAATTTATTATTTTTGGCCTTCAAAATCCCTTCTATAGTCTTTTGTTGTCATTTTATAGGTTGAGGTTTCACAAAACGAAACAAATAGTGATGTCATTTTGCAACATTTCGTTGACTGTTCGGATTACTCACTGTCTTACCTTCCCCTCATGTTGACAGAGTGCAACGGAAAAACACAAAATCAACGTCCCAGAAACTATGAATGAGTTCCTGGACATGTCAGATGACGAAGGTAAGCTCACATCACCCAATCTCCCCCCCCCAATTTTTTTGTTTTGTTTCTGCACTGCACGATTGTCCTGTAGTTAAGAGCGTGCTTTTGAGATGCCCTAACGTGTCTGCACGTGTCACCGCGCATGCATTCAAATCACACAGTTTGGGCCAATGTGCCTGAAAGTCTGGAGGCGGAGTCTATGTCAGATGACGATGAAGGTATCGATCGGCTCATTAGCTCGCCGTCGAAGCCGCTCCGGTTGTGGGTTTGCTTTGTTGTGTGCGCCTCGACTTCTTCTTGTTTCTAAACATTTTTTCTTCGCGGTACTCACACCCAAGCCAAAAACAGCTTTGCGAACGAGTACTTTAAAATTGAAAAGTGAGTGGCAAGTGTTCACATTTGTATTTGCGTCATTCCAATATTCCACTCCATGAACAGAAACACATCTCCTTTTACAGTTTTTTTTGTACAATAAACTTACTTGCACTTTTAGACTCCCAAATTATAGTGAATTTTTGAATGAAGTAAGGAAGAGATGGAGTTTTTGCTCTAAACATTATTTGCATAATTTGAGAATGCTATCAGTCTTTTCCCTTCATAATGATGATTTGATTTTTCTTGCTTTTATTGCACGGTCAAATGGTGCTCCCCAAACTGTTCCCACAAAGCTGCGCTGGCTGGTTTATTCCGTTGCCCTCCTTGCAGACTAACAGCACTGATGGTATTTTCCACAAAAATCTCATTTGTTGTTTTTAACTCCGTCACGCCATCGTCCACTTTGGGAGGAGATTTTTTTTCAGAGGCCTACACATGCTGCGCATCTGTTGCATTTGACATGTTTGAAAGTGCCGCAAAGCTCTTCCCAAGTAACAACAACAACAACGAGCTGCTTCGATCTCGTGAGCTTTGTTTACAACCACAACCCGCTTGTAAAATTGATGAACTACGTCGCGGATGTGTTGCCCAGACAACAGTTGTGTGCGTGGAAGTGTACTTTGCATGTCAACCGATAAGGGACTCAACAGGTCTGGTCCGGCACTGGATGGACGTAAGTTCCCTCGTAGGGGGGTTGCAGGCATGAATTGCGGTTGGTTTGCTTGTGAAAAGGAGGAGAGAGTGGATGTAAAGAGTCCCTTTAATCCTATCGAGGTGGCCAAGCTTGTTATGTTGCAGGGTGGTCACCGTGGGTGCTCGGGGGAATCACGCACAAGTAAATGCACCATTACATCTACTACAGCGCACTATTAGCTATCTGGATAAAGCTCGGGAAATGTTTATAATTGCCGATAAATGCCACAGGAGTGCAACAAAGCACTCGTTTTGTCCAAATTAAAGTCCTCGAGTCACATTAGCCTCAACAGCAAATATACACGTGTTCATTGTACAGTGGTGTCTTGATTTACGTGTTTAATCCATTCTGTGACCATGCTCACAATTCAAAACACTCTTAATCCGCTTTGTAAATTTGACACCTCACGCTCTATAAATGCTTCTAAATACTTGATGTTCACCACGCGTTGTACAATTAGACTCTTGTATAAAGTTTGCGACAAGTTCACTTCCTCACATCGCTTGAAGTTGGTTTCCTCCTCTTCGACCAGAACTTTGCATGTGTGGCCACTGGCCAGACCTCCCTCCGCATCGGAGAAGAAGAGATGACAGTTCGTGCTTGTTGATGGCGGACACTTTCTCCTTCTTGGTGCGTCAGAAAAGATGTTTGCGGAGAGCAGTGTCGACTCCTTAAAGCCAACGAGATGAGCTTTCTTAAGGGAATTAACTCTGGACTTTGCATACGTCAGATGTCACCGGACTTTACGCTTTCTCCTTTCTGGTAGCGCACCGTGAGACCAACTATTTTAGGAAGACTTCAACGCGTAAAGGCGGCTTCCCTTGAGATTACAAATGACTGGGAACATTTAAATAATTAAAAAAATAAGGAGTTATGGCTGGGTCAGAGAACGGTAAGTCACCTCTAAATTGAATGACGAATTCAATGGAAACGTCCCGTAAGACTATTCCACCGTTAGTTGAATGCGGCGTGTAAATTTGACGCATTAGTGTCGCATATTAAAAGAAGAAACTGACTGATGAGGGCGGAAAAGTCGTTTCTGTGGCGGCCAGTAACAACAGGAAGTGAAAGCCCCGAAAATAAAACAATGACGTTCGTGTCGGAATGCCGTACAATATGAACACACACACACACACACAAAAGAAATGTTCGTCTCGCGGACATGTATTTCTCATGTGGCGAAAATGGTGTCTGAAGTGTTCGGTTTACAGTATAATCTATAAGGTCCGAACTCAAACGGTGAAAAATAACCCAACAGTCACTTAAATTAACTTCATTTGCTTTCCGTTCGAAAACGACGGCGAATTGAGGGTCTGAGCAAACGGTTAAATAAGTCCTCTTGCTCGGTTTTGTTGTGAAACGTCAAACCGGAAACGCAACTGCTGCCGCTTTTGTCGGACTTGAGTGAGATTGTAGTGCGGCACCGGCTAAGGCGAGACGGGAGGGGCTGCGGTGAACCAGCGCAGTGTTTGCGGGGCTGCGCGGTGCGCAACCACCTTCCAGCCATGAGGGAGAAAGCCAAGCACGGTGGCCGCTCCGCCCGCTTCGTGGAGCGGCGCGTCATCGTCCACCGGTCCGCCGATCGAGGTGCGGTGTGGTGTTGCTGCACTTTTCTGCCCATTCTGTCATTTGTTCCTTCGCGCTTTTGGGGGCTCTGCTGTCAAGGAGTGACTAAGGCTGTATAGGGATGCATTTATATCTAAATATCTGTTATTATGTTGTCATGTTTACTGTCTATCGCATGGTCGTAGGTGCTTTCATGTCACACAAGAAAAAAAAAGTTGCAGTGGTCTCTGCTGGTGCATTCCGCGCTAAATGGAGCAGATGAATCTCCCGAGGCCTCCAGCATGATTCAAGTCTTATAAGGGACGACTTTTCTGCTTTAAACATTTTACAATGCTATCGCTCTGTCAGGTGAGGATGCTATGACCTGCGACACGGACAAGTACCTGCGGCCCCAGGACCTCAAAGAGCTGGGGGATGACTCTCTCCCACAGGAGGGCTACCTGGGCTTCAGCATCGGAGCCCGCTCGGCCAGGTAGGCATCCGTCTTGTCATTCGTGAAGATGAAGATGCAGAAAAAAGAACAAAAAAACATTGCATCGCTGTTGGGAATACACACAGATGTATGACACCAGGTGGAACAATGTCCACTGCTACATTGTTGGAAAGTTGCCATTTAACGATTGGAGCCGATACAATGATTCAGCATTTTTTGCGTGGCCTCGTTCAAAAGCGGGTTTATAAAGTTGCCCCAATTAGAGCAATTAATGAGCCGCACACTTGAGCTAGTGTATGCCCAGTGGACTGCTACGCGGACCGAAATCCAGAGGAAGCGCTGCAGTGAAAAACACCAGCGACTGTCAATACATTGACACACTCTGGATGGTCAGAGTGACAAAAACAAAAATAGCAACAGGAAGTGGATCATGTTTTTGAGTTTGGAAAACACTTTTTTTTTTTTTTCCTCGTGGAAACATGGTTTCAATCTCTGGCTGTACAAGTGGAAATCGTTTTGGGACAGGCCACACACAACATTAGGTACACCTGCACAGTCTAATGAGATCCAGCGCCTTGGCTCTATGTTCACGATTGTGATTTTTGTCGTCGGCCAAACTTGATATTTACAATCACAAATCCTGATCAGGATCACACATCCTGATCAGGATTTGTGATTTGTAAAAATCGAACGGGTTTAATATCGACAATACCTGTAGTCGGCTGCAACATTTTTCAAAGGAGGTTCGGCAAAGGAAAGTCACTCTTTGCAAGACCACTCGGCATAGTCATTCAGAGGCATCCGATAATCGGACTTTTGCTGACTTTGATTGGTCAGTGGGTAGTTAAATATGGCCCGATTGTCGGTGTGGTGTGTTCGCCGCTTAAATGACTAGCATTGTGTTTCTGCAAACATAAGGATTTGTGGTCGTAAATGTTGCAACGGTTTAACACTTACGATAATCTGCCCTAAATGTTTTCTGAGCAAGGTAATCGCTCCAGATAATGTTTTCGAGACATCCGATAATCGGGTCTTTGCTCACTGATCAGAAGAAATAAAAATAATTCTCAAATGCGCCCTAATTATCGCTATGTTTGTACTTTGCTTGAAGGTAACCACAATTTTGGATACCGGTGAGATTTTGTCAGATTGTGCAGGCATACCTCCATTTCATTTTATTAAAATGAAAAATTCCTGATATGATCTGTGCTTGAATCGATTGACTTAAATTCGAAAAACTTCTTTTCCTCTTTGTGCCTTTGTGTGTTTGCCTTCTGCCTCGCAAACACACAAATTTGAGTTTCTGGAGACTTCTAAAAGTCCGACTTTGCTTGACGCTCTCCTATCTTTTCTTTTCCCTGCACCTGAACTCTCCCTCTAGCCCTAGAATCAGGTAAGACAAGAGCAGTGTTGTAGGAGTCTTTAGTTGTGAATGGCGCCCCGTGTCAACCCTCCCCCCAAACTCTCACCCCGCAAAATCCCTTCACGCCCACCGAGAGCGTCCCTCTGCGTCCTGTGCCACCCGGTGTTTGTTCGTGGTAGTTTTGTCCCCGTGTTGCAGTGTTGTGATCACCTTCTTTCCGCTCACTTTTTTTACCTGAGTCATCATACGTGCTGGAAAAAAAGTTTGCAGTGCAGTCTCGGCTGCAATAACTGTTTAGCCGAGCCGTCTTCACTTTTGAGTTTTATACACTAATCTCGTAACATTCACGTGGCGTTCTTTTCAGCGGCAACTTCCAGGGATTAGATGTGCATGTTCGGGACAGGAATCGTTAGTTTCTCACCTAACAGAGCCGCATCATGCTTTTTTTTTTTTGCTTTTTTTAATCTAGCAATATACAAAAGCGAATCTTCCTTTGTTATTATGTGAATTAGGGCCATTGTTACCTAACGGTGGGGCAGAAGTGCAGAATGGCTCGCCGACAGACATGTTTTCATAAACTGGCAGATAAAAATATTACTGAGTTGTTTATTTTTATACTCGATGGCCCTCTCGAGACCCAGTTGTTACATAACAATGGCCAAAACTCAAAACTTCCTCTCTGAAACTCGACTTAAAAAAAGAATACTGTTTGTCAAAGACGAATCAGATAATCAGAAAATACTGCGTTTTTGGCGTTGATATTATACTGGCAATGAAAAAAAAAAAACAGGTTTCTGTAATACGTCCACTTTAAACTGCCTTTGCGACATATGTGCCCCTGGTTTACTACCATCTCTTAGCAGCTTAGCGGCAGTGTCGCAAGCTAACCGTAGCCCTTTTCCAATCCCATTAACTTTCCCTTTCGCCCCCTGAGAGCCGGATTACAATTATTATAGTGTGGGAATTGACGGCGTTTCTTTGCCCTTTCTTTTTTCGACACTCTGCTTGACATACTTTAATGTAGTGTAGCGGCCGGTGAAATAGGGCCTGTGAGAGAAACAGCGGGGACCTTGTGAAAGACAGCCAAGCTGTAAACAAAGTCGTAAGTTGCACGGGTCGTAAATCGGTGGAGATGCCCCGGATGATTGATCAATATCCGGCAACGATGTTCACGTAACTCATACTATTGCCATTGTCGTACACAAGTAGCTTCATAAAGAATCACTTGTTATTGCCAGATTGCTGGTGGGGGGGATCAAGTAATCGGGAAAATGTTCAGTGCAGCTTCAAGATAGGACGGCAGACAGATTGATCTGGGAAAAGATGAATGGAGCAGTGTGTAAAAAGGACGGAAGGAGAGAAGAGAGGACGGGAAAAGTGTTGGGAAAGGCGGTTGAATGAAAGCGCCGTCATTCTGTAGATGGAAAGGGATGGAGGAGAGAGCGAGAGAGGCAGGTGATGTGACGCTCTGGGTATAGATTGAAACGTTGCGTAACCAACACCAAGGCGAAGCCACTAGAAAGGAAAGACGACCATTTGAACGGATGTTAGCTTGGGACACTTCCAACTGGGAATTGCCACTGAGTCCATTTAGGCAGCTCAGAGTTGCCGAGTAACACGGCAGTGAATAAAAGCGCTTGTCTTTGTGCCCAACTGCGCCCCCCGCTCAACATGCTGAGCTCTGTATTTTCCTCCCCCCTGGACCCCAGTCACAAATGGCCAGCTTAGTGGTTTGTCTTTTAGGGCACATGGAACTCTCTGTAGTCTTTGTGATCCCTCTTATTTATGAGCCAAAAAGCTCAAAATTCGTGCTGCGGACTGAACCGAAAAGATATTTCGGTTTTAGCTTGAGATACTCCACAAAATTGTAGCAGACATTATGGAATCAATTGGTGTAAAGGAGCCAAATCTGACATCCACAGATCCCTCCAAAAATGAACATCTTTTAAAATATGTAAATCTGACAAAAAAAGAAGGAAAAATAAATAGACTTCCTGTTGAAAAATATTAGATTTGTTTATTAAAATTCCAACAACATACTCAAATGTATCTAGATTTTATGACCCGATTTCACAGCTTCACAAATGTCCAATATGTATCCAACACGCAAATGCTATGGTTCACACTGTAATTAACCTCAACAAAAACTGTTTGTACTTTTTTTGTTTTGAAAAATGATACTGTGCTATTTATTGACTTTCACTTCACCATCCTGCTACGATTCACACTGTAATTAACCTCAGCAAAAACTGTTTGTACTTTTTTTGTTTTGAAAAATAATACTGTGCTATTTATTGACTTTCACTTCACCATCCAATTGAAAACCCAAATTCAGGAGGATTGGCTTTAGATAAAATGCTAGTGGGCCCAGACAGGACAAAAGTGGCCTGAGGAAAAAGCATCCTTTTTGCTTCGTGGGACATCCATCTGACTGTCATCCATATCGCAATGAGAGGAAATACCATGCAACCTTAAGATGGAACCCAACGACATCAAATGCAATGAAAACAACAAGGGTCCCAAAATTGAACCCTGTGGAACATCCTATGACAGTGGGGCAGAGAGGGACTTACAGTGTTTTTCCAATTTTGTGCTGCGCAATAGTAGTAGTAGTAGTAGTAGTAGTAGTGTAGTATTTCCATTCCTTCATAAGCTGCCTCTCCAGACTCGCATCCTCCTTTCCACTCTGGACTCTCTGTCCACTTAGAAAAAAAAAACAAGAAAATGTTCCCTGGAGGTTGCATGAAATAACGTAATTCCTTGCTTTTTGTCTTGTGTTGTGTTTCCCTGCTGCCTGTCGCTTGTTGTTGCCGCGCGGCGCTGGCTTGCGTGGTAACATTTAGCCTCCGCTCCTTCAGTTCGGATAGGTCCAACACCCTCAACCGGAGCTCCTTCGCCCGGGACAGCATGATGATCGAGGAGATCTTGGCCCCCACCAAGGACACGGTAGAGTACAATGCTGTCCTAAAGTCCTTCTTTCCCACCCACACACCTGAAAAGTGTCAATATTATGCTTGTTTTTGTTAATTGTTCACCTTGCAGGATGTACTGTACGTAGCACCTGGAATTTGCGGTTGACTCAAACCTTGCAGGAGCACACCCCCTTCTCCTGTCTCTTGTTTTGTCCTGGAAAAATCTCAGGGCATACTGTAGGGCTCCCCCCCGCCTGTCCTACTCTTGTTTTGGTGGTCAGGAGCTAAACCAGAAACCGTCACCTCTCATATTATAAACAGCAGTTGCAATGTGGCCCGCGAGCTGAGTGACGACATCGCCCAAGACCCCAAACAGCCAAAATACAAACTCCACATGATTTACCACCTTTACAAATGAAGCCAGACAGTCAAAGGGACTCACTTTCATGAGTTCCAATTTTGTCCATTCACATCGGGTGCATTTTGTGTGGTAGAATTCGAACTATGTCTCATTTTCACTGCAAACCAAACATCATGAATTGGGATGAAGTGCAACTCTTGACTCTTTCCTCTTTCTGAAGCTTCAGAGCGTCTGTAAAGACATTTCCTACCTGGTCGACCCACTAAATAAGGTATATTTATTAAAAAAAAAAAAAAGTGAACATTATTTCAGGTCACCATCATCTCTCATGTACATTCTCCATTCACCAATTTTTGTTTTTGGCTCACACCCATTATGTGCTTATGCCTCTGAGTTAATTTGAAAATTGTTGCAAATATTTGTCAGGGGTTCAATTAAAAAAGTGAAGGCCATATTGTATGGATTCACTGTATACAAAGTGAAATATTTTAGGATTTAAAAACAAAACTAATTAACACCCACCATATCAAGAAAGTAGAACATAGTATTTCATAAAAAACAATCACAATGATTATTTAATGTACCGTAGGCTATCCTCGCCTCTTGGTTTAATGTATTTTTATGACGCACGCCCTTCACTTTTTGAATCGAACTCCCGAAAAGAACTTTCCAGCGATATTCTTCTTCTTCCTCACATCCTTCACCTTCCCACCTCTGTCCCCGTCGTCACCTCTGCTCACGCGCCCACTTTCTGCTTGCAGCACTTGGCCGTGACCAGCGATTACAACTCGGAATGTATGCGGCGCTACAGCTGGACCCCGGACACCGTGGACCACGGCCACAACGTTGCATCCAGCCCCATCCACTCTGGGTAAGAGTTCCGGTGAGCGCCTGCATGTTTAGGAGTGTGCGCAAACATGGTCCGTGATTGTTTATGCAGCTGCGCACACACAGCAAGCATGGCCGCCAAGTCACTCGTCAGCAAGGCCTTCCGTGCTGATGCGGGTTTTTTGTGCTGTGCTACTCCAGGACAGCACTTAACATTCTCATGTCATAAATCGACCGACACAATCCAGAGTTCACTTCTGTGCTCACCGTACTGATGCTGACAAAGCTGGCTAGGAAGCCACAAGAAACGAGAAAAAAAAAATATTTCGGCTCTTCTGCCTGCAAAACAACCGCCGCATCATTTCTCTTAATGTGATCCTCCCATCATTTGGTGAAGACCTGTCGTCGGCGCGTTCTGCTTTCCGTCCCGGTGGAGTGTGTGATGTTTGTCTTTGGTCGCCATAGAGCCCGACAGCGGGTGTCAACCTTGATACTAAAACGAGATTTCGGGGCTTTTTGCCTCTCCCTGCATTGTCTCCATGTGTTTATTTTACAGCTTCTCATCCCCGCTCCCTCAGTATGACTCCAGGTGAAGACTGAGCTCGCTGCTCTGTAACCCATGACTCCACCCCCCCCTTCCCCCGTCCCCTCAGTTGATGTCACTCACTCATTCACCGCTGCCTTTCCCGACGTTCCCTTTTTTTTTTACTCCCACTCATCAGTGGTGTTTCATTTGCATTGCCTAGAGATAGTCCAAGCGTGTCATCTTGGTGTTATTGATTTTCTCTTCCAGAATACACGAACAACCTCATACTGCATTTACAGAGGAAAAGCACAACACTCACAAGAAGAATATACGCAGTGATCCCCCGTTCCAGACCCATTCGGGAATCACGCTAAATCCGTGATTTAGTCAAGTCACCTATTTGAACGCGCCCCAAAATAATGCCAAGCATGAAATGTATAGAGAATATATTACGAATGTAATAATAATGAAAAAGTTATTTATTTGATCGTTTTGTGTATTGTGTTTGTGAACACAAGAAGATGAATCTGCGGTGCAGCAAAAAGGGAATTGTGACAAAGCGGGGGATTACTGTCCTCACTTTTTCACGTGGCAGTCATTTTGCTGACGGGGCAGAGTACTCACAAAAAATTTGGGATGTCAAGCTCTCAGGTGAAATATCCGGTTGAGTCTTACAATGCTTAACTGCAAATATGCAGCGGTTGACTCTTGTTTCAAGTTGTAAAATCACCAATCACCACTAGATGGCAGACACTGGATCTTATACTGCTCCCGACTACAACATGAGTCAGCCAAACATTTATTTATTTTTTTTTGCAGATTTGGAATGATTATGGAGGACAGACATAGTACCTCAATAATATTAATTCATTATTCATGAATTAAAAATTATTTTCTGGCGTTGGGATGTGCAAAATGAGGTGTTGCGTTTAATGTTGGTTTCTTGTTCAGCAGTTTTGTGCCATCCTTCAATGCTAATTTGTATACAAGAGACCCCTTTGCACTGGATCTTTTATACATGCGTTAAAAAATGTATTCTCAAAAATGACATTCATTCAGAGCACGTCTTTTGCATGCATGTCCGTATTTCGTCCAGATTTCAAATCACATTTTTGTCATCCATCTGGTTCAGAAGTACGTGGTCCTATGTGGCCCCACCCAGTAGCACTGACGAAAAATTGTGGCCCCACCAACCCCTCTCGCATTTACCGTCCCTTCACTGTAGCCGTTACAGATAACTTTAATTGGACCTTCCCTCATCATTTGAATGCAAATGTGCATTTCGTCATCGCTTCAGTACTTTTGCACGCCGTGCTGTTCTCGAACAAGAAGCTGAACGGTGCATTCAAAAATGAAATAGAAAAAGTCAAAGATCTCAGATGTCAAGGTTATAATGCAGTTTTGGTTCATCCTGTTCACCATGAAGACAAATATCCCAAACTTTTTGGTGAGTCATGTATCACCTTTAAATCACATTAATCTTGTCGGTGAAACATCTGTGCAGGTGTGTAATATTTGATCACTGACGGCTGCTTTCGAGGATCTGAAACGCTGGCAGAAACCTGACTTTTTGCCTCCAAACCGAACTAAACGCCATCACTGTTTAGTTCCCCCTCAATTTGAGGCATTTCTTGTCCGCCAGCTCTCGGAACTCAAAGCAACTTTCTTTGTGGTGTCTTCTGCCACTTTGGCGATGATTTCCTTTTCTCTTTTCCGTTCCGTTTTTGGATGTCCAGTGATCACAGCATGGGGATCGTCCCGCTCACTTTTTTTTTTGTTTTTGTCCGTGCCTTCCGTCCATCTCGGCCCGGGCGTCTTCTTCCTCAGCCTCTCACGGCTCTTCTCTGTTCTCACGCAGGTTCCTGGTCAGCTTCATGGTAGACGCCCGCGGCGGGTCCTTGAGGGGCAGCCGCCATAACGGCATGCGCATCATCATCCCGCCCAGGAAGTGCACGGCGCCCACGCGTATCACCTGCCGCCTGGCCAAGAGGCACAAGCTCGCCTACCCGCCGCCCATGGTGGAAGGGGAGGGCCTGGTCAGCAGACTCGTGGAGGTCGGCCCGGCTGGGGCGCAGTTTCTTGGGTGCGTTTCGCCGTTATTACAACTTTATACATGATTAAGTTAGGACCGGTGTTCCCTCGAAGCTGCGGGTGCGAGCAATTGAAGAAAGAAGTGCCGGCCGGCTCTGTTGACTGACCCCCATCAATCCCGTGCTCTCTTTCAGTCCCGTGATTGTGGAGATCCCTCATTTCGGCTCCATGCGGGGGAAGGAGAGGGAGCTGATCGTGTTGAGGAGTGACAACGGCGACACGTGGCGCGAGCACCAATTCGAGTCCACTCCAGAGGAACTCACGGAGCTGCTGACCGGAATGGATGAAGGTAAAGGAGCAGCTGTATAAAATGAATGACTGTTCATCCGGTACAGAAATAAAGTGAGAAAAAGTGTGCCCCCCCTCCCCCAGACTGCGACACGTTCAGATTTGTGACAAAGTAAACGGTTCACTCACCACTTATTCATTTGTGAACTCAAAAAGTATCTGTTGGGCTGATACTTTTTGAAACCGAAGACCCCCGTGGTCGTCGTTCCCTCATCTCCTCTCCCGACGGTCCCGTTGCAGAGTTGGACAGCCCCGCCGAGTTGGAGAAGAAGCGCATTTGCCGCATCGTGAGCAGAGACTTCCCGCAGTATTTCGCTGTGGTGTCGAGGATCAAGCAGGAATCCAACCACATGGGTCCCGATGGGGGCGTCCTGTCCAGTAGCACTGTGACCATGGTCCAAGCCTCCTTCCCGCAGGGGGCGCTGACCAAGAAGATTCGCGTCGGCCTGCAGGTTCATATGACATCGACTCGCGCACGGCCACTTAAGATCGGGGCGGAAGGCCGTCGACACGGATCCCCCCGCCCTTGCCAACTTTATATCGGCAGCCCGCTGAGCTCTGCTTGCAGTTCCTTTTAAAATCTCGACATGACAATCCCCCGCCCCACCCCTTTTAGGCTCAACCTGTCCCTGATGACTTGGTGAGGGCGGTCCTGGGGAACAGAGCCACCTTCAGCCCCATCGTCACCGTGGAGCCCAGGAGGAGGAAATTCCACAAGCCGATCACGATGACCATCCCTGTCCCGCCCCGCCAGGCGGAAGGCCACCCCATCGGCCACCGGGGCGACGCGGCGCCTTGCCTGCGTTTGCTCTGCAGCATCACAGGCGCGCGGGCACCTCCTGAAATGATGCGAGCACGCCAGAGGGAATGGCGACGCTCATCATTTGTCCTTTGCCCCGCACAGGAGGAACGTCCCCGGCCCAGTGGGAAGACATCACGGGGACCACGCCGCTTTCCTTTGTGACCGATTGCGTCTCCTTTACCACAAATGTGTCGGCCAGGTACGCCCGCCGTTCATTTGAATATCCCTTCGAGTGAGCGCCTGCGTATTCACAGTTCGGCAGTCGCAAAATCACATATTGACAGATTTTTGCGGGGGTATTTGTGGGCCATCTTGCAGCATCTTGGTGCCGAGAAACTATGTTAAAGTGAGTTGAGGAGCTCCATTTAAACCGAAAGTAGTGCTTCGCAATGGGGGAGAGTACTGTACTGCATTTTAAGAGATCCTCAGATGATTGCGTGAGTTAAGTTACAGAAAATCTGCGATTTAGAGCCACCATCCACAAAGCACGTGAATGTTTTTTTTTTTTTGGGTGACGGCAAAAACGATCCTGAATATTCCTGAACAAAATCTCTCTGCTCCCGTGCATTCCCCGGGCAGGTTCTGGCTCGCAGACTGTCACCAGATTCCTGAGACGGTGGGTCTGGCGTCTCAGTTATACCGGGAGCTGATCTGCGTGCCGTACCTGGCCAAGTTTGTGGTGTTCGCCAAGATGAACGACCCGGTGGAGGCGCGCCTCCGCTGCTTCTGCATGACGGACGACAAAGTGGACAAAACCCTCGAGCAGCAGGAGAACTTCGAGGAGGTGGCCCGAAGTAAAGACATCGAGGTGAGCTCGTGTTGGACGCGGAATTCCCACAAACTTTGCCCAACTTGTGTGGCATTATGGCCCAAAACTTGATTCATTGTTTCATTGATTAAGCGGTCCCTCAACCCTTTGGTCATCATTGTCAATTTTTTGGTTTTTTTAGGTTCTGGAGGGCAAGCCCATCCATGTGGACTGCTATGGCAACTTGTCTCCGCTGACCAAAAGTGGACAGCAGCTTGTATTTAATTTCTACTCCTTCAAGGAAAACAGACTTCCTTTCACCGTGAAGGTACAGGATTTTTTTTTTGTGATAAATTTCCAATTAACCTTCTTTGAGGGTTGTCTGGTCCGTGTGGAAGTGAACATGCCACGTCTGTATTGTCTGTGTTGCGGATTTAAAATGCCTCCATTTTGCTTCCGTTGCTTCCCGACACCGTTAGTCCGCCAATTGCGCAACTAATCGCCTTCACTTCTGACAAGAACTCTACGTATGCCAGGGTAGGAAATGGTGCAAAATCTTTGACTTCATTGATATGTTTCCTCGTCTTTTTTTTTTTCCTCCATTTTTTTTTTTAACAGATCAGAGATATGGGCCAAGAGCCCTGTGGCCGCCTGTCATTCCTGAAGGAAGCAAAAACCTCGAAAGGTCTTCCGCAGGCCGCCATATGCAATCTAAATATCACACTGCCCACACACAAGAAGGTAGGCGTCCAGTTTTCCAGAGTCCTGCGTTCTTTTTTGCCTCATGTCATATCACCTACATGGTATTCAAATCACGACGAGGAGACACTCATTGGCTTTCGGAGAGGACTGCCTATTTGTGTGTTATTCTCGCACATTTGAAGCCAGCCAGCCATAAGACCCCACAACGTATCGATGTCCACTTTTTGTGATTTTGCTCCGCTGCTGCCTGGCTTTGATTTAAGAGCGGCCGACATGCATTTGTTGTGAGAAAATGGTGCTTTTGCTTCTTATGTTTTGCTCGAATGACGATGATGATGATGATGATGCCACTAGTTTTTTTTCCCCCATCACCTTGATGTTTTCTTATTTTTTGTGTTGCTGCTCCATTTTTCATCCCCCCCATCTCACGACACACTGTCCCCGCTCTGCATTGTGTCATCTTCCTCCCTCCTCCTGCTGCAATGCATCTTGGGAATCCCACAGGATATGGAGTCTGACCCTGACGATGAGGTAAATAGTCTCTTCATCATCACACTAACAGCTGCTTCTGTGTTTATTTTTTTTCTCGTTGTCCCTCTGTTGGCTTGTACTGAGTCAAAAGCCTTTGTGCATGAATGTTAACGGTACCGTACGTGTTTCTATCCAATTCTTTTGATCTTCATCTTTAAAGTGACGTGAAATGCGTCACACCTCTCCCCACTTGTCCCCTTTTGCATGTGCGTGCTCGAGTGCTAATCTTCAACTATAAGATGATCCTATTTTTTTTTTGTCCCATAGTTGTAGGAAAGTGCAAAATACATAAAGATGTATTATACTGCATAATATTTGTAAAGTAGAATCATCGTAACTGTTGCCATATTTGTCTTCTGTTGAACACGACGACTGCATGCGATATGCTCTTAAAACACAAGTAGGACTGAATCATTTTAAGATGGGACCATGTCACCCTAGTAAATTAACTTAAAAAAAAAATAGTATCTAGACTGACTCGTACACCAACTTCTGAGATTTGGAGTGACGAATCATCTATATATCGATTTGTCGATATTTTTGCTTCGTGTAAGCGAGCCAAAATGTCAGTTCCACGAGAGCTTCACGTTTGCCGCCCCCTCGACTTGAGGCAGTCACACACCAAAATACAAAATGAACGCGTTTGCAAGGAGCATGGAATCATAGCTTAGATACTGAAGTAACTACAGTAAGCAGCGACTGATGTGATTCACGAGGCCGTTTCGAGGCATACGCCAACACGCAAATGTACGTTACTGTCTGTGTGTGTGAGAGACCTTTAAAAAAAAAAAAAACTAATTTATTTTTATTATTATTATTTATTATTTTTATTTTACCAAAAAAGTGTTGGTTTTACCGTTTCCTGGCATTGAAATGAATTCCAATCGAAAACATGGATTTGATAAATACTGTCATGAGGTCTTGCCGTTAAACAGCCAAAAAAAAATAAGTTCTTCTCATCTATGGTTGCGACTCACCCGAAACAAGGCACTTTCCTTCCAAATTACCAAATGAACGTTTTTATTTTTATTTTTTCTTTGGTAAACATAACTACCTGACCATATTTTTTATGTTCAAGCATCTTTTTTGTTTTTTTTTTTTTTTGTTTCAGAATGAAAGGCCAGTGCGACGCCATACCTTTGCCTCCTTAGCTTTGCGTAAGCGCTACAGCTATTTGACCGACCCTGCGGCGAGTGAGTTCCCCCTTTTTTTTTACATAACACGCATGGAAAAAAAAGAAAATTGAGATTTTCTACATAAATAACACAATCAGTTGAACTGTCTGAAGGTCCCTTTATATACTGCAGTACTGCTGTTGCTTTCATCATCCAGAAGGAGTTTTCTTTTGTTTGTTTGTTTGTTTGTTTCCAATCGCAAGTGCTCATGACTCATTTCTTCTCCCAGCCCAGCAACCATTGTCAACCTTGCATGAATTTTACTGTGTGTCAAGCTTGGCTAAGCCTACCGCATTACATGCCATTGTTTCAACTCTCGTGTTACACTTTTGACAATATCAGCAGGTCAACATCATTCATGTCATTCGTTGATTTATTTGGACCAAATGTTTTTGTTTTTGTTTTTGCATTGTATGAAAATGTTGATTTCATTTTGTTCAATTTCATTCCGTGGCCATTGTTCTCTTCTTGGCTTTGCGACTCTATGTGGCTGAGTAGAAAAACAGGTTGCACTTTACAGCTCGGTGGTGATATTATTTAGGGGCAGATTTAATTGCTAATCTCATATGTGCAATGTTATTCTTGTTATTTTGCCCTGGCTCATCTGATACATTCCAAAATTTTAAATGTCGTGACCCAGTGTGACAAAACTGCACATGAACTCAATCTTGTTGCTCATTTAACATTTGATTTTTTTTTTTTTTGTAAAGTGCAACCTCATTCTTTATCCTAAGTTCCGTCCAAATACATAAAAAATGTCATACGCTTTTCCAAATGGTCTTAACTTGTGGGGTCATCTCTGGCATTGAAAAAGAACCAAACGTAAGGAACTGCATGTGAAGAAAACATGGGCAGTAAAAGGCACTCTCGTCTCTCAACAAGTCAAACAAGCACATGAAGCGCATCAAAAGGCAACGGAATTGTACTTTTCACTTATCATGTTTTCTTACTTTGACCACATGTCATGCATTTTTGTTCCCACCACACACAAACACGCGCACATACGCTGTCTTTTGTCATGTACCTTTGTTTTGATCCGTATACTTCTCATGTCATCCTGAGTGTGTAAAAGGGACCTTCTGTAATCGACAAGTGTACATTTTTGTCTTGCTGCTCGTAAGTGATGCTGTTTCTGACTGAATTTCTCTTTCTTTTATGTTTTCTTTTTCAATTATTTTACCTTCTACTTTCTGTTGCCTCCTTTTCTTTTTTGTCTTCTTTTTGTTTGAATTACTGTCGAAGAAACACCCGATCGAAGTCCGCAAAGAGCACAGCCTTCTGGCTACCCTCACAAATCTGTCTTTTCAACGAGATCTTATCAGGCGTGGCCGCCTGTTCCTGTCGCCGTCCCTGGCCAAGCCAAGTCTGGGTTTGGCTCCCTCTCCAGCTCATCGTCCAACACACCTTCTGCCTCTCCACTAAAGTCTGTCTGGTCCATCAACTCCGGCTCCCCCATAAAGACAAATATTCCCGGATCCCCTGCCTCTTCCGTTAAGTCGGTTAGCGACATGGCCTCTCCCATCCGATCGTACAGAACCATCTCCTCTCCTATCAAAACAGTAGTCCAGCATGCTCAGTACCCAGGCCAGGTTGCCCACAGTCCTCTGGCATCGCCTGTAAAAAGTGCTTCAGACAGTGCATCTGTGAAAGGACTTGCGGCGTTGTCAGCCAGGACTATAACTGCTTCGACAGGAGGAAGTCCTCTCCTTGAGAGGGCATCAAAAGCCACGACGCCTCCAACATCTCCCAAATCTTCCCTTAGTATGTTCAGTTCCCCTCTGTCATACAAGACCGTTGTGGGTGGGGCCGCTGTTCCGGGATCGTCTTCCTCCCCTATCAAAACTGTCCCCGGCCTCTCCTCTGTCCGTTCCTTTTCCTCAGACGTGTCAGGCCCCGCAAGGAACCTCTTCTCCTCACTGTCCTCGCCCCTCAAATCCAACACCCCACAAAGTGCTGCGGCGCTGATCAACGGAACAGTGTCGCCAGCACAGTACCGCTCCTCCTCTCCAACCTCACTCCTTGCCAGCAGTCTCCAAGAAAGAATACAAGCAACCACCAACGCTGCGACGACAAGCGTCAATGCGGCGTTTGATGAGGTTGAAAAAACATTCAATTCTTGCTCGGCTGGCTACGGTACTTTAAAGTCATTGTCCTCCTCTGCGTCCTCGTCATATCAGTCCATTCGGTCCTCAGCATCTAGTTCCCTTTACAACTCACTAAGGTCCCCTCCTAATGCCACCACTGCTGGAACGTCCAGCACCGTGACGGTCCCTGTGTATTCTGTTATCAATGTACTGCCAGAGCCCCAGTTTAAAAAGTTACCCGATGTGTCCAAGTCAACTGCTGCTATTCTGTCCCCACGTAACACCGCGCCACCTGAGATGAATCCTCAATTGCAGTCGTCCTTTGCCAGAAATCTTTCCCCTACCAAGCCTCCACTTCTCTCATCCGGTTTAAAGTCAACCGCGACATCCGCGTTGTCATCCAGCCAAGAAATTCTGAAAGACGTCGCTGATATGAAAGAGGACTTAATACGAATGTCAGCCATTTTGCAGACGGATCCAAATTCTAATACAAGTAAAGGATTTCAGTCTGGTTCCGCAGCCAAGGTTGAAGATGAAGAGCCTTACCGGATTGTGGAGAAAGTAAAACAAGATCTGGTAAAAGTGAGTGAAATCCTGACTAAAGACGCGAGCAAAGAGCCACTGGCAAGGGGCACCTTGGATGACATACGCTTCTCAAAAGTGCCTGTTGAACAGCCACCCAGCAACTGGAGCTATCCCCCAAGATACGAGACGGTGGTTCCTCAAGCGAAAGCAAAAACAATTCAAGATCGAAATTTCAGTCTTTCTAAAGTTGCCGACTATTTAGCTAATGATGTTGGTAGCAGTTCTTTCTCCAAAACGCAAGACACTAAACATACAACAAATGAGGGCAAGAGAGAAGCGGATGGCAGGGAAAAGCAAAAACGCGTTCTGAAACCCACCATTGCAGTTCAAGAGCAAAAACTCAAAATGCCTCCAACGAGCATGCGATCATCCCCTTCAGACCGAGAGCTAGGTAAAGTGGCCGATGCTCTTTTCGGAGCCGATACTGTGCTGGAATCCCCTGATGATGTATATCATGAACAGGATAAGAGTCCCCTCTCAGACAGTGGCTTTGAGACCAGAAGTGAAAGGACCCCTTCTGCCCCGCAGAGTGCTGAAGGCACGGGCCCAAAGGCGCCTTTCCAGGACATCCCCGTTCCCCCCGTGATCACTGAGACGAGGACTGAAGTTGTTCATGTCATCAGGAGCTATGAGCCCCCTGAGGATAACAAACAACCCGCAATGCTGGAGGGAAATCCCATCCAATACATTGGCACTGAGTCGAAAGGACATGCTAATCAAGCTCCATCAATTAAAGTTGCCCCTGATGAGGATCCGATGGGTAAAGGCATACGGTTGAAGGAGGAAACTCACATCACTACTACCACCAGGATGGTGTACCACAAACCATCTGGCAATGAAGCTGTATCAGAGAGGTGTGAGGAAACCATGTCTGTTCATGACATCATGAAAGCCTTTCAATCAGGAAAGGACCCATCGAGGGAGCTTGCTGGACTCTTTGAGCACAAATCTGAGGAAGTACCACAGAGACTCTCTGACGACGTCAAACCAAAGGTTGAAAGAATAATTGAAGTGCACATTGAAAAGGGCAGTAAAGCAGAACCAACCGAAGTCATCATCAGAGAGACTAAAAACCATTCCGACAATGACATGTATTACTACCCGGGAAACAGACAAGAGGACAGGGAAACTGAGGAACTTCCCACCTATTTTGACTCCTCCAAATTTAACGCCACCATGGCACCTGAGGAAAGTCGCCCTAGTTCAGCCCAATTAATGGCAGACGAGTCTTATAAGACCTTGAAATTGCTTAGCCAGCAGTCTGTGGAGTACCATGAGGATGAATCGTCAGAGTTAAGGGGAGAATCTTATAATTTTGCTGAGAAAATGTTATTGTCAGAGAATTTTGACCAATCCCATCCTGACGCTGAGGAACGTGGTCGAGAAAAGTCTCACTTCCACTCACCAGACAGAGGTCGCAATGAGAGTAGGTCAGTCGGGCCAAGAACGGAATACATCTTTCGGTCGTCACGAAATTTGTTGGATACGTCAGGGAGATTGGCCTGTACTGATGATAACTATGACACAATGACACTTGTGCAGCATTCCTCTGAGCCCGGTAGTCCAAAGCAATCCGTTTGGATGCGTGTCTCATCAGATGACACGGAGAGAAAGGAAAGAGAGCAACTAATGTATGAGGAAAGAGTGGACAGAACCGTAAAAGAGGCAGAGGAAAAACTCTGTGAGGTATCTCAGTTCTTTAGGGATAAAACAGAGCAGCTCAATGATGAGCTCTCCTCTCCAGAGAGAAAATCTCGCAGGCCAGACTTTAGGGAATCACGATCTGGACCTAGTTCCACACAAAGCAGTCCAGAGCGATCGGTTTATAGAAACGGTGCAAGTGGGGAAGAGTGGAGCAGAGAAAGACTAAGAGACAAGTTCAGCTCTAATGATCGGAAATGTGCCAGTTTACCCAGTAGTCCGGAGAGGCGAGTACTTCTGCAGCATAATGATTCAGACTCTAGAAGGCAGGGAGACGGGAAAGTTGAAGGCCCAAAGCCTTTTCAGATGTCTTCTTCCAAAGTAAGTGCAGTGAGACTTAAGTTTGAACAAGAGGCTCAAAAACAAGACAGGGCTTCTCAGGGTGGTCAAAGTTCCAATCCTCCAATAAGGAAACTCCATGAAAGTAAGCTCCCTGTGTACCAGGTATTTGCTGGTCCTAACGTTCCAAAAGCACCAGACAGTCCAGTAAGCCAGAGAAGAGGGCAAGAAAGTGAGTCAAAGTTTTCACCCTTGCATCAGTCTTATGGGAAAAATCAGGACGATAAGAAGTTATTCAAAACATGGGAAAACCAAGGGTATGGCAACTACAAACCCCAATCCCCCAAATTATCGCACACATTAGTCCATGATTCTCCAAAAGATGACAGCAATAGCGATTCACAAAGACAAGAAACTACCAAGAAAGTTATTTACACTGAATTCGTTGTACGAGAGAGTCCAAATTGCAATGACGGTCTAAAAAAAAACTCGGAATCGCAAATTCCTGTAAGAAAGTCGTCTAATTTTTCAGATAATCGCAGATCCCCATCTTTAAAATTAGACACCTCTGTTGAAGCACATGAGAAGGAAGGCTCTCGCACGCCCATCCTAGTTCGAAACCCCGTACATAGTAGCTTTGAATCCAACAAGTCTACTTGCGGATCGTCAGGGAAATCCACAGACTCCGACTGTAGCCAGTCAAATATCACTTGTAACGGTGTTGACAGTGACCAAATAGAGTATTTGGATCATGGAACTCCTGCACTTATCACAGAAGGTTTCAAAGATATCAAACCATTACCTGTGTATGTTAGCATTCAAGTAGGCAAGCAGTATGAGAAAGAAACAGCGACCGGGCAGCTTGGAACTTACAAAAAAATAGTAAGCCATGAGAGCAGGACAGTACATGAGACCAGGGGAACATTTTACACTGTCAAACAAAAGGAGTCGCCATCTCCTCAAGGTAGTCCAGAAGACGACACTCTAGAACAAGTAACATTCATAGACAGCTCTGGGAAGAGTCCTGTTACTCCCGAGACGCCAAGCCCGGAGGACGTTAGCCTGACCTCGCGAATGCCTGATTCTGTGATTGGCTCCATGGCTGGCATGCCTAGTCCAATCCCAGAGGAGTCAGAAGAGGAAGATGGTAAGACCTTCATCTACAAGGAGCCTACAAAGGAAAAACCCAAGCAAGCAGCTTCAGAGAATCACAGCAAGAAACAGGAAGCAGAGAAACAGAAGCCCAAAGGGGAGAAGAAAGTTCCTTATATAGAGTTTCCACCGCCTCCTCCTTTGGACACAGAGCAGTCAGACCCTGAGAAAAGAAAATCTTGCGCATCCTCTGAGACGGAGACAGAAATGATGGAAGTAAACCTCCAGGAGGAGCATGACAAGCACTTTTTAGCCGAGCCAGTCATCAGGGTCCAGCCTCCGTCACCCGTTCCTCCCGGAGCTGATAACAGTGACTCCAGTGATGACGAGTCTGTGTTCCATCCCATCCCTGTCAAAAAGTATACCTTCAAAATGAAAGAGGAGGGGGAGAAACGCTCAAAACACCGAAAAACGGAGAAGAATGGAAATAAAGAGTCTGGGATCAATGGTGTCGTGAAGGGGGAGGAAGTTGACTTGGAACAAAATGGGAATGACCAGTCGATCACCGACTGCTCCATAGCAACCACTGCTGAATTTTCCCATGACACAGATGCCACTGAGATTGACTCACTGGATGGTTACGATTTTCAGGACGAGGACGATGGACTGAGCGAAGACCCAAAAACATCCAATCTATCCAATGATGGGAAAACAGCTGATCGCCCCTTTGGTCAGTCTAAGCTCGAAGTGATTGAGGAAGAGAAGTGTGAGGATGGGAAAACCAATCCGTCTTCTTCGAAAAGCAGTGGGGAAGAAATAGATTACACCCTAGAAGGAAGGCATCCAGAAAGGTTCACAGACCATTACTTCCGCTACCAACTTGAAGAGGAGCTAAACTCAACCTTTAAAACCGTAGCCACAAAAGGCCTTGATTTTGACCCCTGGTCCACCAAAGGGAGTGATCATGAAGGAGTTTATGACTCCAAAACCAAAGACGAAGATCCCAAGCCCTTTGGTTTATCCGTGGAGGACAAATCACAGGCTACAACACCTGACACTACCCCTGCTCGAACACCAACTGATGAGAGTACACCAACTAGTGAGCCTAACCCCTTCCCTTTCCACGAAGGGAAGATGTTTGAGATGACCCGCAGTGGTGCTATTGACATGAGCAAGCGGGACTTTGTTGAAGAGAGGCTTCAGTTTTTTCAGATTGGTGAGCATTCCTCTGACCCTCTAACAGGGGAAAGGGGGAGAGGGGGCAAGATCCTGGGTGTAATTTCCTCTCAATCAAAAACAGGGGAGAGGGCCACGGTCGAGGGCAAAGTGAAAGTTATAGATACAGCCACAGGCGGCAGCACAACACCAGCAGCAGGATCAAAATGCAGCCCCGTGCACCCTGGCAGTGACACCGGCTATGCTGGTACTGAGCTACCCACCCGTGAAGCCGTAGCTGAGACCGCCTCCTCATGTACAATCACGGCCTCCAAGGTTGATCCCAAATTGCGCACCCCTATTAAGATGGGCATAGCTGCCTCTATAACTGTGAAAAAAGACTCAGGGGATCTCACTGATTTTAAAGCTGAGATGTCAGAGGGCCAAATGGTGCCCGAATATATCAGCATAGAGGGTCAGAGTACAGAAGGCCAATCGAGCAAAGACACAGAGGCCAAGTCAGAGAGAAGAGATTATCCATCTGAAAACTGCAACAACAATAATAACCTCGAATCCTCCAGTATTCAGGCCAACTACATTCAGTGTGGCAGTGTGGTGTTCAATCTGCAGTCCTCCTCTGAGCCCACACTTCAGAAAGCCAGCAGGATAGAAACATTGTGTTGTAGGGATGTAGAAGAAAAAGTAGAAAGAGGTCAGAGCAGTCAGGTGCAGCAGCAGCAGCAAAGCGTACAGGTTAAAGACAGTGAGGTGAAGCTGCCCAGGTCCAGGCTTCCAGTAAAAGCATCAGGGCGGTCAAATCACACCCAGGGAACAGCCATAGGCAAGCAGAAGCCCAAGCAAACAGTGAAAATTGAGACCAGAAAAAGAGGAGAGCCAGCCATTGCCAAAGTAGAACCAAGGTCTAGAATACCAGTCAAGGATATTAAGAAGGGAAACTCCACAACCGCAGCTAGCTCACCACATTCGGTTAGGGTTACTTCACGGCCAACGAGGCCATTAGCTAGTGAAAGAGCAGCCATAAAGTTGCCCTCAAGGTTACCACTCAAGGACAGACATCAGGTCAGTAAGGCATCAGGTGAGGGAACGTCGAGGCAGGAGAGACACGAGAACCCGAGCGATGTTTGTAAGCGCACCATTGAATACTTTAAAGAGATTAGCGGAGAGACGATAAAGTTGGTGGACCGCCTGTCAGACGAGGAGAAAAAGAAGCAAACAGAGCAGTCGGAGGAAGACAGCACCTCCCGGAGCACCTCCCTGTCAGACACCTCGCAGCCGTCCCAACCTTCCCAGCCCTCCCGCTCGTCCAGGTCTGGTCGAGGTTCGAGGGCTGAGGCCGGGGCCGGGGCCCCGTCCGTAGGGGCAAAGGTGGCGACGACGGACAGGGCCTCTGGCAGTCAGAGGAGCAGAAGGAGTAGGCGGACTGGTGGGAAGGAGGGCAGTCAGGGACTCGCGGGGTCTCGAACACCTCCCATCGCAGAGATCAAGCCTAGTTTGTAAAACTTTCACACTATCAAATACATTTTTCTACATATATAGACCTATGTCACTTATAGTTGCATGACTTGTGGTCATTGAATTGATTGACTGGTATGCCTGTGGCGTGTTTATATATTTCTAAATATATCTATACATATATGTGTATGTATTCCCTTAAGAACAGTAGCTGTCATTGACCCATCATCATTGATGTACTTTGTCCTGCATTGTCTCTGTTCCAAGTTTCCTTTCCTTCTGTGCCCCCCGCACTTTCTCAAACCTCGTGTGCCCTGTGCAGTAGAGTAGCAAGCCAGTCGCAGTGACTGCTACACTCGCACAATCCCTGGTTTGTTTGTCTCTGTTCAGGGCGAAGTTGTCATGGTTATACTTGTAGTGTCGTCGGAACTTTTCATATACTCGTCTGTCGCAGTATTTTTGTTTTTTGTTTTTGTTTTTTGCAAAGAACACCAAGTAGCGCATGTTGAACACCGCGATTCTAACCAAATCAAATCCACCCTAGATTTTTCGAACCGAGTCTGCTTCGTAGAGTTGTGGTATGCTTTGTTTTGTGTGGTTCTCATGACATTTAATGCCTGCCAAAAAGGTTACACAGCACAAATAGCCATAGACCGCCACGTGTAGTGTGAAATGCCTTTTCTTGCCATCACGAAAAGGAACAATTAAACAAATTTCCAAGAATTACTGGATTCCAGTGAAGAAGAATTGGAGTTGCAAGCCAGCTGTCTTGAATTGTAAACTGGAGAAGTGGCAAGAAAAGGAAACATCTATGTAGTTTTTTTTTCTCTTAATACTGGAGAGAAGAGGAATAATCAAAATGTTAACTAGCGATTGTCCTCTGTCTCGCCAGGTCCCCAAAGTCCTTGTGAGCGCACAGATTTGCGTATGGCCATTGTAGCAGATCACCTGGGACTCAGCTGGACAGGTAAGGAAACACTGGAGCGACGGCGATCAAATATCGTGGCCGATTTTGTGTACGCCCTACGGCGGTTATGTACTGCTTCTTCGAGAGTCCGTTGATGTGTCTCGTCACAGAGCTGGCTCGGGAGATGAACTTCACGGTAGATGAGATTAACCACATTAGATTGGAGAACCCGAACTCTCTGACAGCACAGAGCTTCATGCTATTAAAGAAGTGGGTCAGCCGGGAAGGGAAAAATGCCACAAGTAAGTGAAGTCTTACCTTGTGTCTGTGTTTCAATGACTTTTCACAACCCTCTACGTAACGCTATCGTTTGTTGCGATCTTGTTGACTTCCGACCGGAGTTGATGCTGTATTATTTTCCACAGCGGATGCCTTGACTGCAGTGCTGACCAAAGTCAGTCGGATGGATATTGTGACTTTACTGGAGGGCCCAATTTTTGACTATGGTAACATTTCCGGCACGAGATGTTTTGCCGATGATCATGCGGTTTTCCGGGATCAGGCTGATGGTAAAGTTTAGCTCTGATTAGCTGACCTATTACCTCTTCCTGCTGCCATGTTGTTGCTATTTTTGTTTTTTGCATGCACCACATTGCATGGATCATGTCTAGTGCCAATTCCTAATTGTGTCTTGTTGTCGAGATGCTGTTTTCGTAGCGGTTAAGAGTTGTGTCTGGACAACTGGCTCCTCCTACCGTTCTCCAAAAATGTTTTAACAACACTTGCTATCTCACGGGACTATTTCTTGCCTGAATTAAGATTACATGGCTACAGTGTGCCAGTTGTCACGAATCCTATCAGGATTGCATGCATGAAGATACAAAGGACAATAATATTTTTCACCTAACCTGAGTTAAATGTGGATCACGTGACTGCGTGGTCTATTTTACTGTTGTACAGTTTAGTTCTCCTCGTGCTCCTCCAGTTCCTCTGAGCCTTCCTTGGATAGATGAGAGTACGGCTTCTTCTCTACCTGTTCCTCCTGCCTTGCATCACCTCCCGCTCAGCAGCACCCACTGCTGATAACAGCACATAACAGCTCTTAACTGTTTAAGAGCCACGTATTGCTGATAGCCATCCCTCTCCCGAAGTCACACTATTTATTCATTTTCCTTTTGAAATTCAACACTGACGTTCATTTTCCATTTTCTCCTGTTTTTTTTTGTGTGTGTCAATCCATGCCTGCTCCTTAGTGTGTGTAATTATTCCATTGATTCCGAGCAGTCCCGCCTTCATCCTGCATACAAAGCGATCCATCCCATCCCCGCCCCTGACACCGAGAGCCCTGACCCCACGCCGCTCTCCTAGTTACGAATTCTCCATTTCGCTCAAAGACTTGGCACCCCCTTTGCAACCGGAAAAACACTTCACCTTTGTTCCCCCGTCTCTTCACTACCTCAACCCTCAGTGCCACCCTGCTGACACGCGTCAGTCCCCTTCCTTTCCTTTCTCACCGCACCCATCCTCCCCGATCCCACTCATCACTTCGCCATCACCTTCATTGGTGCCGTCCCCTCCCCCAACCTCCTTCGCTCCAACAGAACCAGCAGTCGTAGAAATATCCCAAAGCACCTCTGAACTCACCTGTGATCCACCTACCCTCACCGGACCCCCAACCACACCCACCGTCCTCACCCTTGCACCCTACCCTGCCACCCACAACCTACCGGAGCATGCTACAAGTCCCATTTCTTCACCCTCTGTCGCTGCCTTGCCAAGTGATTTGACCGCTTCTTCCCGCCCTGTCTCCCCTCTCGCTTTCCCCCCTGTGACCCCCTGTGAGTCCCGCTGTGCAAGCCCAAATCCCCCATCCCCGCCTCTACGCTCACTGTCTCCTTGCCACACGTGCCCTTGCGCTTGTCCACCTTCCGCTCGCACCCGCATTGACCCTACCTCATTGGAAATATTTATGTAGGTTTATATTAGTGGTCCTCCAACTGGGGTACCTTTAAAACAAATTATTCTAATAGATATTGCTGCTTTTTTTGCTCGAAAATAACCATTTAAAAAAATTCCTGTAGCATTTACATCTGTAAATCATGCCGACGTTAGACTACTCGATTGTACCCCGATTTTGAGCCAATAGATGTGTCGCAGACAAACTTAGTGTCTCATCGCCGATTTCGAGTTGTGTTGTGCGCAACGTAACCCGTGTCAAGTGACATACCCAATGATTGGTCGTCTAGCATCTGGGATGCTTCACGACGAAAAAAAAGTCCGACATGCCAGAAGTTTTGTTCATCTTGCTACATAGTGTGAGATGTCCTACGTCGTCCTTTGATTGGTTCTTCGGCATTGACTAACAGGAAGACAGCGCCTACTTATGACAAGAGACTGGACATGCCGTTTCTAAATTAACAAACAAAAGGAATGGACAGTTTTGGAATGTATTGTAAACATACGTTAGCATTTCAACTCAGGCTACGTTTACTAACTGCAAAGCTAGTAGCTGGTTAGCAAACGGTGGACTGAATTATCAGGGTCGGGTCGCTGACGGACTTGTATTGTGACGTCTCGACTGGTCCAAGACACAGAACGATATTTATCTGGTAGTCTGACATTTGGGGGTTATTGGAAAAATTCTGCACTGTAAAGGGTCCCTGAAACCAAAACCTTTGAGAACCCCTGCTCGATATTTCACCTCTCATCTGTCTATGCATGTAAAATCTTCCATATTGCTCCTTGGAAAAAAAAATCCTTGTGAGATCATATTCAACCGACCGACTTAAAACATATCCAGTACAATTGATGTCATACGTTGTATTGCATATGTCTGCTGTGAAGCTACCTACTTCCCACTTAAGTCTCAGTGCCATTGTCCTTGCCGTGGTTGTGTGTGTTATGCTGTATTTTCATTTCTTAGCATGCTTCGGTGTACATTTATCATCATGTCACCCACAGATTACCAGAACATTCTAGCCGAGTTGCATTCCCCCGCCGCACTGCACTCCGACCCACATTTCCTGGTACCCGAACTTCCTGTCACACCCGACCCTTCCCCTGTCCACCACCAGCATCACCATTACCCACAACCCGACTCCCGGCCGCAACCCCTGCTCTGGAGCCATGAGATCAAATCTGGAAGCTCAGCTGAGAGTCCCCTTAGGCCCTGTCAGTTTCCGCTGTCCCTTATGGCTTTTGACCTCCCTGATCCTGTTCCATCCAAGGTGCAGAAGCCCCACATCGCCCTGAACGACCAGCTGCTTTTAAGCGAGGAGGAGGACAGATCTTACCGAGAAATGGAACCGAGCCGCACGCACAAGTCTGTCCCCGCTTTGTGCGAGTTAGACATCAGCATGGCCTACTCCACATCGTCCTGTTCAGTTTCATCTGTATCATCGATAACCCCTTTAACACCTGACGGAGCACAAATAGGAGATGGAGCTGTGCTACAAGTGGACATTGAAAGGTGTGAGAAGGAAGAGTCAAAAGAAAAGGGTAAGGTTGATCAGAGGGTTGCAGTAGAGGGGAACTTTTTTGTGGAAAAGTGGGTAGAGGAGGACTGGATTAAAAACCTAGAGAGAAAATGTGAGATCGTGACAAAAGATGTCAAGAGTCAGCTGAAAGCGGACAAAAACATGTTTGCCGGACAAAAGGGAGCGGCAGGAGTGCGGATTAAAATGCTGGGAGCTGGCTCTGCTGGAGATGAAATAGAGGCTGACAAAGAGAGTATTGATGAAACACCACAAGTAGAAGGGAACAGTGAAGAAGTGGTCCATCGGGGGGACAGAAGCAAAGTTGCTGATGATGGTCGAGGCACTCTCCAGCCAAGTGACTTGACCGTTCAGGAATGGGCTGAGGCCCTTTGGGAACGTCAGTCTACTGAGTGTGGATCTAATGAGGAGGAAGATGGAGGAGGAAATAATGAGAGCCAAGAGAAGGCAGAGACTGAAGAAGGCTCAGAGGAGAAGGAGAAGGACAAAGAGATGACCACTGAGACGGACAGAGAACTGGAGATTGCCTATTGCGTTGAACCGCCAGAAAAAGACATGTGCTCGCTTTCAGGTTGGCAGAGCGACTCATCCAGCGTCAACGCGGAGCCACCGACGCCAGGCCGCAGCTCGGATCTGCTGGACATGCGGGAAAGGTGTGATTTATCCGCTCCTTGAAATCCATGAAACACTCCAAAAAACACCGGTCCGAATTCCGACTGTCTCAGCAGCCACGAGAACTCGAGCGATTCCGTCACTTCCTCATCCAGAGGCGAATCAGGGAGGTCCCGGCAGAACGGCGACAAGTCAAAAAACTCACCTCAGGGCGGCTCGTCAGAGTCGATGAATGGCAGAAAGGAAGAGGGAAGGCTGGTGTCCGAGAAGAAAGTTCAGGTAGTTCTGACTAATCTATCTGAAGAACAGTTTCTTGGATGTGAGTTTTGGCCTGAATTTACACTGCAAGTCCCAAGTGCTCAATTACGATTCAATGCCTGGATCCGAAAGTCCATTTCCATGTACTGTACATTTGAGGGACACCGAATTTGGCTCTCTGCAGCTATTTCAGGATCAACGTACCTCGAATCTAGCCTCTGCAGACAATGCGTGTGTATGTTTACACTGAACTCACCTTGGAACGTATCTGATCTAGATAACCGTTTTCTCCACATTTGGAAGGGTCTTGATTTCAATCTGAAAATATGCGGTGACACAAATTGGAATTGCGACACTTGAACCAGGCAGTGTAAATCCAAGTCTTTCCCTTAGATTCTGTGAATCCAAGATCTGTTCCATCATTGTGCTCGAGAATATTAACCAGGTCTTTGAGCAGAGCCACCAATGGAGCCAAATTGTACAAAGTCGCACCCGACACATGGCTAACTCACCACTTTTTCTCCTCCTGGCTTCTCTCTTTGGAGTTTGTGTCATGATATTTGGATTATGCCTTCTCCAGCAGCGGGTTAGTGTAGATTCCGGTTCCGAGGAAGAACAGACCGTAACCACCAGAATCTTCCGACGCCGGCTCATTTTGAAGGTACCCTGCGAGCCGGGGAAAGTGGCTCGGGTTGGATTGAGTCTGGAGTGTGTTTTTTGTTTTGATGTGTGGGTGTGCCCCGAATGACTACCTCTTTGGATGTGGCTGCATTCCTGAGCCTGTCCTGGTTTTTCCTCTTTGCATGGACGATGCGAGAGTGTCAAAGCATTTGCACCGTTGCTTCAGCAGCACTTGATAGTGTTGTCATTTCACAACTGATCCTACTTGATCAAACAAGAAATTGAGGGCAGGTGATCATCTGGGAATTGCTGTGAGTTTGCCGTCAGAACTTTCTAGGCTGTCACGCTGGTGCCGTACTTGCTCTCGCTCTCCGTTTGGTGTGGTGATGGTTTGTTGCCCTATGTAGGCATGAACTGCGTGCTATTTTACGGCGCTAATGACCAAACATTCGCAGGGCGAGGAAGCAAAAAACATATCCGGCGAGTCTGTGACCGAGGAACACTACTTGGACCAAGACGGTAACCTCGTCAGTAGAAAAGTAACTTATTATTCCATATCCCTGATCCATTCAGCTACAGGGAGAGAAGTGGCGTGTGAAACCATCAGTTTTTTTTCCTCTCTCGGTTGACGTGCCGAGTAGGTCATCAGGAAGGTCATCCGCCGGCTCTCTAGCTCCACGACAGACAACCACGGATGCCACAGGGACCTTCAGAAAAGTCCCACCCTGCAGGAGGACGGACCTGAGGTTGGCGGAGAGACCCTTCTGGGGTGCAACGTCTTGGTGGCATGCGGATCTTTTGGGTCAAAGTTTCGATTCTCCATTATGATGCAGTCAAGTTGTGCAACACTGTGAACTACAACCACAGTCTCCCTCCATTTTCTACAGGGCTTATTTGGTTCAAGGTTGTAGCTCAGCTGACATTGGCCAAGAGATGGGTTACACCCTGGACTGGTCATCAGCCAATCCCAGGACACACAAAGATTGACAAAACACGAAGGCTAAAACCACACCAATTGTAGTAAATGAATCTAAATTTGACTGATTCTAATGCAGCTCTTGTATTGAATCCTGTGACATTTTTTAGGCCCACCTGATGTTGTGACAGAGTGGTTTCGGTGGTGCAACCACCTTGATTGCCTTTTCAGACATGTGACTAACGAGTGCTGTGACTCTATTTTAACAATTCGCTCTTTCCCTCTCCTCTCTTCCGTAACTACACATTTTTCGTCATTCAGGCGTGGGGTCGGTGTGTAACTGTAGACGACTACCACTTGCTGGTTTCGTATGAAACATTGTTTGCCTTGGCGTTGCCCGTGATGTGGTTTAATGAAACAAAATCCCTTGTCTCAACTTTCTTTTGCCGTTTTTCTTGCATTTTGCAGAAAGATGGCGCGTCGAGAAATAGCAGGCGAGTGGACGAGAGGAAGCCCGGAGACAAAAAGTTTCACTCGTAGGGATGGATTGATTGTTCTCTCGACCAGGTACAGTTGCATTCCATGTCTGTCACTTTTAGGAAGTCGAATCTTTTTAGATGCTTTGGACGAACTTTAGATGATCCGATGTATTTACCTAACTCATTTGCTATTATTTTTTTTCCCCCAAATATATTACATTTCATCAAAATATAAAAACATGCATTCGTCTTTAAATTATGTTGACCCAACTTTTTAATTTGTTGCCGCAGTATAGCGCCAACTACTGCTGTGGAGGGCTTACTCGATGTCTGATTTTTTTTTTCTCCTTATCGGTGCTTGGTATCGACAGACTCCATGATACCTTAAAATAAGTCTGGTATCGGCCCAATGCCGAAAACTGCTACTGTCACACGCCCATCTCTTGTAATTTATTAAAGAGAGGCACTTATTCAAGTGGATGATGCACCTGGTGCTTCATTGAGTCACAGTTAATTAATTTGAGTTGATGTGTTTGTGATCATCTGAGTCCTGGTTTTCATTCGAGTGGATGACACTCTGGGTAATTATTTGAGTCATGGTTAATTTATTTCAGGTGAGGAATTGGTTCAAGCCACTGACACGTTTGTTAATTCAGTCGCAGTTCATTTGTCTGAAACGAGGTGTTGGTTCAAGTGCTAGATGCAACCCGTGATTAACTGAGACACTATTAAAGTGGAGGCAAATATTTGAGGAACTACAGAGTGAGCATTTTTGTTCCCCCAAATGGCAACGCATCCCCAGCCCACATATTTGCTCTTGTAGGTGAAAAAAAGCTCAGTGATGTCTGAGCCTGCTCATTCTACAGCAACATTTTTTTCACGGGGATGTTTTGTTTTGTTGTTTTTGCGCGCGGCTGTCAATGGACATGGATGACGAAGCGCTGATGCGCAATATTTAACTGTAACACCTGCGCTTCTGTCTTTTCTGTGGACCAAATCCCTGACTCGGAGCAGTGTGTCCCTTCCAAAATAGAGAGCGTTATCCCAGCGGGCTCACTGTTCAGGCCCACTGCTGTTCGGCCGTATGCTACACCGTCGAGGCGCGGCTCCCTCTGAACATTTATTGGCAGTGCCATCAAGTCAAGCAGCACACCCACCGAGCATCGGGTGCTCGCATGATCCTGTCAAAAAGGTCAGGGCCTGTAATTCATGTATGAAAATAGGAAACCCGGGGTTCCACATAAAAAGCTTAAAGTAGATGTATTTTGCGATTTTTTTTTTTCACAATTTAAAAGTTCCCAGATGTCTTAATAATAGGTTGATGAAATCATTAGGTAAAAATACACAGTCACAGCACATTCTGTTTAATCAATGGAATTTTAATTGTGTTCACAATTTTGGCACCACAATTAAAATTGAAATATAAAACAGTAGTCAGCCAGCCACCAGGGGGCGAAACTGCCGCGAAAGCCTAAAGTCATTGTCTGGACTTGTTTTAAATTCAGGGCAAGTATCGTGAAAAAAAAACTTAACATGATGAGTTCAACATCATGAAAAATCTGGATTGAAATATTGATCAACTTAATAGTGATTATCATTTGGCTCATAAGTGTGCAGGCCTAATCAGAGTAACCGTCATGACCTGGGAGGAGCTCGGCCTTTGCGATGAAGCAAATACTTCTCAGGGTTGTCAATTTGCTGAAATTCACACAATATTTTTCGCTCCTTTTCCCACCCCCGAAAGCAAACGTTTTTCAAAAACTCCATGTAGCAACGCAGCTAAACCCTCGGCTCGTATTGCGAACATCACGGCTCCCCCGTTTTCTAGGTTTGGTCACATGACGTTTGTAACGCGAGCCCGAGGGCACGCTCATGTCATTTCCAGTCGACAGCAGAGGGCGGTAGGATGTAAAAATGGCTGCACCCTTTCGTGAAGGTTGAAACACGACTTGGGCAATTATGCAGTTAGGCTAATGACACTTCGGCTTTCGGCAGACTGTATGTAACAGAATGTACTGTTTTGTGTCCCGCAGTCATCCAGGATCATATTCCACGTTCCAGGGAACAGGGGTTACTTGAGGGCTGAGGTGTTCCAGTTTAGCATCCGCATCCACCAAATGGGTTGGCTTCACGTGATGAGCGGAGTCCACGCCCCTCCTGACCCGTCAACGCATGAGCATGAACAAACTCCTCCGCATCCACCCTGTCAATCAAAGGGCCTGAGAGAGGTGAACGCTCGGTCCCCGGGACCCGCCTTCGAGGATTCTGCTTCCTGTTAGGGCTTTCAGGGGAAGGCCACTCAGGTGGTCGGGGTAGGAGGGGGGGGGGGAGTCCTCCTTTGCTCACATCCACAAATGTAGGCGCAACCGTTGACCAAAGACGGCACAATCGGCGACGGAGGAAATATGAAGAAGACACAATACAACACGACAGTGATCTAATGGAACACGTCAGACAACTTCAACATGTTCAACACTGGCCTTAAAAGTTTTTCTTCTTGAACCCGCTGTTGTCAGGATGGTAACTGTTCCTTTTTTTTAAACTAAAAAAAACAAACACTTTTTTCCGTTTTTGTATATAGAGTCAGAATGTGTACGGATTCTTCATATGTAATACGCTACTGGTAGGGTGGAGTTTGGTCACAATTAGGGTGTGGGATCTTTTCAAGTGCTTTGGGAATCCACTGAAGCAATTCCACTTTTCAAAGTTGTGTGCGTAACACAGGTTCTTCTAAAAAAAAAAAAACAAAGAAAAAAAATAGAAAGGCTACTAGAGCAGGTATAATATTTGTACACAGACTGGTTTGATTTTAACGTTAGGAAAGAAGAAAAAAAAACATTACCGTTGGGTCATTCTCAAAAGTGGGATCCAAATCCCGCAGCCTTTCAAGAGTATTTTCAAGCATGCCGTTCACATTATTTGGAGTACAATTTTTACAAGTTTCCAAAAGCTCTGTATTAAGAGAAATTGAGGCCCTTTTATCTGTGTGTACACACGTGTAGCCCTAATGTTTGTCACTGGTTTTATATTTTAACACGGACTAGCATAGCATTGGCACTTTGCAGTTTTTTTTTGGGGGGGGGGGGGTGTGTGTGTGTGTGTGTGTGTGTGTGTGTGTGTGTGTGTGTGTGTGTGTGTGTGTGTAAAACTGGAGGGGCAGCTTGAGAGCATAATAATGGCGAATGTAAGCGCTAGTAGGCTGGTTCGCTGTCCAAAACTGTAACCGTGTATCGTGCATTCTTGGCTGTAAGACGTAAGAGCCTCCGCGCACTGTTTTTAGAGTGTCGTCTCACAAATGCTGTGTGGTCTCAAATGACACCCAAAAAAAGGGCATTTATTTTTCCATTATTCATCTTTTCGCGTGACTTTGTCTCTATACTTCATTTCAAATCTACTCACAAGCAGAGATTAATTTGGACTGTAGCTTTTCATAGCATCTTAAAAAAAAAAGAAAACACTGGATGGTCGACAGACGCCGTTTAAGCATCGAATAAATTGTATTTGAGTCTTGACGCCGTGTGGTATTTATTTAGGCAAGAGAGTCTGTATATGCAGTGTCCATTAGAATCATTTACATCACTTGTGTGTTGGTTTTCATTCCATCGATCAAGTGTGTTCACTATCAGTATGCTGATGCCAACGCTGTGGACGTTAAAACTACTGTGTGACTCTTTTTTTTTTCTTCTGGTGGGCGTGGGGGTGGTACACATTCCCTTGCTCCTCTCAAAATCGATCAGGGGCTCGATGATCCTTTGATATGGTTGAACTATCAAATTTGTTTCGTATGTGTTTTCACCCAGGCGGACTTTTTGATGTACAATTTACTAACAAGAGTGAAGCCATTGCAATGTAATAATAATTCTAGCACTTTGGTTATCCGAGGTCTTTTAGAGGCGATTAGCAGCAGCGAGGACACCGCAAGTGTTTCAGATGTCTTTCGAGAGAATGGAAAAAAAAACAAATGCAAAATTGACCTAAAAAGGATAAAAAAATAAAAATGCATTGGTTTTCCAATACACTTTCTCTTGTGCTCTGTGTGTGTGTGTGTGTGTGTGTGTGTGTGTGTGTGTGTGTGTGTGTGTGTGTGTGTGTGTGCGTGTATGTGCTTGTCCCTTGTATGATGTAATATTGACAAAGTGATGTCATAAAATAAATGGCATCGCAGAGAGGAAGTTTCTTTTGGGATGTTGCAAATATTAACTCATTCAATGCCACAGATTTTTTTTTTACATTTGTTTTTCAAAATGAATCCAAGCATTTAACCCCAGGTATGTTTTTATGTATTTTTAAAATATTTTCACATGGCAGGGTAAATAAGGGTCAGAAAATGGCTGGCACTGAAAGAGTGTTAAATTAGATCCTACTGAGTGGGACTTGGGAAAAAAATAGACCTGACCACTCTATGGAATAATAACTACTTATTGTTTTCATAGGGTGTGTAGAAAATTAAAAGATGGGGTGGGGGGGCAGACAAGATTTGAGTGGCTTTGAAAAAGAAACAATAAATTACATTTAAATGCATTTTAATATTATTATTTACATTGTAGCGATCGAAAAATATTTTGTCTGTATATTTGTAACTTGGTTTTGCAACACGACCATGGCCAAATCGATATTTTGTAAAACCCTAACCCTGGCTATTAACCAGAGTTTTCTTCTCCGCATCTTTCACACCAGTAGGCCTCCTTTTCCAAAATATGAATGGTGTTGCCCTCAAATGAACGTCCCTCCTTTTTGGAGAGGCAAATGAATTACTGACTGGACCAGAGGAGCGTGCTCACTGGGCCCACGCTTCACTCAGTAATTTTATACTTGCTCTGCTGTCTGACAGCAGAAACGAAATATATGCAAACGAGAAAACTTCATGAGGAATTCAGCTGGAATAAAAGACTTTTCATGCCGTTTTAGCTAGTGACACGCCCCTGGGCTGGTCAAAACTGGCTGAGGCGCGCTATGGTGCGAGCATGGGCTTTGGCCTCTCTCTGACTCATCAGCAGATCTCATTGATTTACTTAATGAAAGTAATTTGGATGTCAACATCCAAGTGAGATATTAAGTGTGTGTGTTTGTGAAAGAGTCGCTCTTTTGTAAGGCTATTTGGGGTGAACGATGAGAATCTAATCATAGCTCTGAGAAAAGCTTTTGTAGTCGTTTTGTTTTTAGCCAATTCGAATGGAACTTTGTAACATTTAAACAATGTGGTAAAGCGAAATAATAAATAAAATATAATAAAACAACACTTCGTCAAAAGCTTTGGAGTGGAGTTTATTAGTGTATGTTGTGATAACTTAAATCATACCTCAGCAGAGGAGAAAGTCCTAGAAAATTCCAGGAGGAGTCCTGGAGAACTGCAAAATTACTTCTGAGCAAGCTGTTCTAATTTTGAATTAAAGATGAAACGTCTTCAGCCACCCTGAAATGTCTCGTTGCCTCAATTCAACATTTGCAGACCGTGATTATTTACGAGAATCTGCGATGATCAAGTGGGAATATACTTGGGTGGCAGTCTTGCAGACAGACCTACATTTGGTTCCCTCGCTTTGTCTTTATGACGTACTAAAGTGGAGCAGTTCCACCGAGTCGCCGCGCTTATGGAAACTTCCACACCGGGGCGCTGTCACCGCGGCGCCCCGGCAAGGGTGACACGACGCTGGGGCAGAACTGCGTGGAAGCTCCTCTCGTCTTCTTCTGCGTCGACGCTCTTCGCTCTCCTCCTCCTCCTCCTCACATTCGCCATGGCGGACAGTGCGAGCGAGAGCGACACCGACGGCGCGGGCAGCAGCTCGGCCACCCCGATGACGACCTGCGCCTCCAACTCGGGCAAGCCGAGCATCGTGATCTCGCAGTTTCGCCTGGAGGAGCTCACCAACCGACTGGCCTCGCTGCAGCAGGAGAACAAAGTTCTGAAAATCGAGCTGGAGACGTTCAAACTCAAGTGCAAAGCGTTGCAGGAGGAGAATCGGGACCTGCGCAAAGCTAGCGTCACTATTGTGAGTAGCGTTAGCTAATTAGCTCGCAGGCTAACACACATGACCACCTGATCGATACGCAGCCTTTTTTGTCATGTAGCTAGCCGTACACGGCGTCTTTTAATCGCATCTTAAGTCAACAATTTCATCACGTAATGCGTGTGTTTGAATTCCCAACACGCCCCTGTCGTGATGTATTAGCGAGTTGACCATGTTGCTGTGCTAACATAGCGTTGCGTGCTATCGTCTATGTTGGGGGTGGCCGGCCAGCGGTTAGCCAGACAGCTAGTTTGGCTTTGTTTTGTTTCTTTATTTCAGCTCATCTCCGGTACCTAAAGTCGCGTTGACATCTCACGAAGTCATTAATTAAGTCGGCGTGAGACGTTGCTGTGTGTGGTCTTAAGACCGAAATGGGCGACACGCTCAAAACGTGTCGATAAAAGCATCGACACTGAGCTGTAACATAAAATATATTCGGCATTCGCCCTGCCGAAGCGTGTAACTGATGCCGTGTCGAGACGGGAAGTATGTAGGCCGAGCTAAGCCGAGAGCGAGGCTCATATGTCTGCGCAACACCCGCTGCACTCTCCCGGGGTCGAGGTGAGGTTCATCCCGGGTGTCTCCTCCGCTTTGACGCCCCTTACTGAGTCATTCCAGCTCGCGTAAAGGCATTGCCCAGATGATTAATTTGTGCGTGTGCTGCCTCCTGTTTCACCCCCTCCTTTTTTTGAGGCTTCCATTACTGTAATAACTTAAGAGCCATTAGGGAAAATTCAGTTTCCGTTTGGGATGCCAGTGGGGGAAAAAAAAAAACAATAGTGAATCATCATCTTACCATTCGAGCTTTTTGGCCAACTTTTGGTTCCACAACTCCACCCTGTAAAAGCAACCACCGTGGGCAGGTTTGGCACAGTGCAAGCGCGGTGGTGCCCTAGTGGCTAACACATCTGACTCACAGGTCTGAGCATGGTTCGAGTCTCTGTTTCAGTCCTTTGTGTGGCGTTTGTAACTCTCCCAGTGCTTGCATTGGTTATATTTCAACTCCTTTCCAAATTTCCAAACCATGAATGTTTGGTTTGCTGGAGACTAAACCTGGACAAGGTATGCAATCACCAAATCCAGCCACAAATAGCAGGATTTCACATAGAACCCAAACAATGATCACAAACATTTTTGATATCATTTCCAACTCATAATCCTTAGCATGTGCAGTTCTCACACTGCGACATCATGTTTTTCTTTTTTTGAGCATATCCTGGAGCAGCATTTTCTTCTTTTGGCACCTAGGATGTTTGCCAGAAGCTGTAAGAAGGAGCTGATGGCGTCTTTGGGCGAGACAGAAAGCACAAAAATATTTGGATAGGCATAATGAGGTGCGTTTGTTCAGCTCAAAGTTTTAGTTTTGTTCTTCTGATAAATTTGCAGGGAGGATGAACACCTCAGCGCTAAGCCGAGAGCGAGGCTCATATGTCTGCGCAACACCCGCTGCACTCTCCCGGGGTCGAGGTGAGGTTCATCCCGGGTGTCTCCTCCGCTTTGACGCCCCTTACTGAGTCATTCCAGCTCGCGTAAAGGCATTGCCCAGATGATTAATTTGTGCGTGTGCTGCCTCCTGTTTCACCCCCTCCTTTTTTTGAGGCTTCCATTACTGTAATAACTTAAGAGCCATTAGGGAAAATTCAGTTTCCGTTTGGGATGCCAGTGGGGGAAAAAAAAAAACAATAGTGAATCATCATCTTACCATTCGAGCTTTTTGGCCAACTTTTGGTTCCACAACTCCACCCTGTAAAAGCAACCACCGTGGGCAGGTTTGGCACAGTGCAAGCGCGGTGGTGCCCTAGTGGCTAACACATCTGACTCACAGGTCTGAGCATGGTTCGAGTCTCTGTTTCAGTCCTTTGTGTGGCGTTTGTAACTCTCCCAGTGCTTGCATTGGTTATATTTCAACTCCTTTCCAAATTTCCAAACCATGAATGTTTGGTTTGCTGGAGACTAAACCTGGACAAGGTATGCAATCACCAAATCCAGCCACAAATAGCAGGATTTCACATAGAACCCAAACAATGATCACAAACATTTTTGATATCATTTCCAACTCATAATCCTTAGCATGTGCAGTTCTCACACTGCGACATCATGTTTTTCTTTTTTTGAGCATATCCTGGAGCAGCATTTTCTTCTTTTGGCACCTAGGATGTTTGCCAGAAGCTGTAAGAAGGAGCTGATGGCGTCTTTGGGCGAGACAGAAAGCACAAAAATATTTGGATAGGCATAATGAGGTGCGTTTGTTCAGCTCAAAGTTTTAGTTTTGTTCTTCTGATAAATTTGCAGGGAGGATGAACACCTCAGCCCCAGTTGACTCTACACTATGACACAAAAATTTTGACCACAAACCTTTCTTTTTGATGCGGATGGTTCACCCATGTCAAACCGCCATAATATAGCCTTATTTAAATTGATTTTGGGGGCGTGGTTAGAGGTCCAGCCAGGCTAACTAAATATTGAACTTTTGAAATAGGTACTCTATTGTTTAATTTAGTTATGACTGATTCGTGTTGACGCAATTGAAGTTACTTCAATGCCGTTTGGTGCGTTCAGGTTGAGTCGTGTTGCGTCAATGTAAACACAGAATGTCGGGACATCTGTCACTTGGAAATAAACATGAAAGAAAAAAGGGTGCGGGAAGTGGATGGCATGATATCTAAATTGGG